ACACTCTTAATAACTGTAGCTACTTCTTTCCTTTTGGGATAAAATAGGTAGATGTCTGGACACATGTTAATATTCCTTGGTCTTCTCTAAACTAGCCTTCAGTAGCTCTGATAGTGTTTTTAGCAGTGTTGTATAAAGTACTGAAATCTCAGAGTCAAGTAAAAGTATAAGTACCTCTCCAAAATATGACTTTGGTAAAAGTCCAAGTCACTGACTGAAATGTTACTTGAGTAAAAGTCTTAAAGTATCTGAAATGGCTTGTACTTAAGTATAAGAATTACTGTAAAAATAGATGTACTCAAGTAATGTAGTGAAAAGTATAAGTAAAAAGTAGTGCAGTTTGAATTACATTTTTTTACATTTTGGTAAACTTTGAAGGTTAAATTCCCTTAAATTAATGTAAACAGCCAAGTGTAGGATAAATTTAGACTGGCTTTGCGAAACAGGCGTATCCTATTGATGTTGATGAACAAGCCCAGGCAAGACCCGACTTTGTAGTCCGTAGGTGGGGTCAAAACACCTGCGTTTGTCTTGCTCTCTCGCTCGTTTTTTTTTTTTTTTTTACTTTGTAACTAAACCAAACATTGAAAATGTATCGGAGTAAAAGTATGCAATTAAGTTTGTAAATGTAGTGAAGTAAAAGTGAAAGTTCTCAAAAAAAATGTATACGCTTGGAAAGTATAAAGTACTCCAAAATATACTTAAGTACAGTAGTGAAGTATTTTTACTTCGTTACTATACAACACTGGTTTTTAGGGTAACTTCCCTGCTAGAAGGTGAACCTTTTGTTCCTAAATCTTCTTTAGCCTCCAACACCTTTTCTCCTAGCTCTGTCCTTTATTTAACTCTCTAACCCCCATAACTGCCAACCAGCTCTCATGCTGATTCTGCAGATAACTGCAGCAACGTTTGAGGTAACCTCCCATCAGCACTGATGGCTGCTTTCCTGCCGCTTGAAAGTATGACGTAGTTGTCCTGTCAACAGATTCTCTCTGTAGCTCCTCCAGAGTTACCATAGGATATTAGGAAGTTTCCATTATTGTTCCTCTCCTTGTTTTCACTGATGGCTCTAAGGAACAGTCATGTCTTGGCAGTTATGACGTCTGCACTGCAAAAAAATTATATCTGAATAAGTATCTTTTTCTTAAAATAAGGGCATGTTTCTTGAATTGAGGAAATTACAATTTACATTAAAACTAAGTAAAAGAATTGCATTGTCTAATTTCAAGTGCGGATTATCTAATTATCTTATTTATCTTATTTAAAAATATTCATTCCATTGGCAAATAATCATATTTCCCCGTTCAAACTAAGGCTAATACACTTAATTTATTAAGTGTAAGAGTATTTTACTTATTTCTAGCTTGCTTTTTTCAGTTTGTTTTCTAGTAGACTTCTAAGACCTTCAGAGAAAAAAAAAAGATTTAGACAGGGATTAGATCGAACAGCAGGACAAATAAAATCTGCATTTTTCTTATTTCAAATACAAGAAAATCCAGTAATCCATGAAGCATTGCGTTTCCACTCTGCAATGAAAGACCACTTCATAACTATTAGATCAACTCGTAATAAAACACACTGAAATTTGTCATTGTAAAAGGAAAAAAGAAATATCTATAGTGTATAAATATTCTCCAAGATGCTTAGTAAATACATTTATATATATTTAATTCATCAGCATCAGTATAATTATAAAGTGGTGATAAGTAAAGTTTTTAGTAATACATTTAATGTTATACTCTGAATTTGTTCCATAGCCATGTTTGCTTGTGATCTTATTCTTATATTTTTGAAGCTTGGGTTTGCTAAACAAATGTATAAACTATGAAGAAAAATGTTTTCACATCCTGTTTCATCACAGTCTGAAGATGAATTTTATTCATCTCTATACAGGAGCATCAGGTCTGAGTTAGCAGCTGAACACAGGCAGCATTTTGTCCTCTGCATCTGAAAGTCATTAATACTGCAGGCAGATTGCTTCAGCAGAGCATTAAAGTCTCATGATTTCAACGCCAGCCTAAACTATTTAATTACACGTCTCTGTGTGTTATTTCTGCATCGCTGTTAGGCAGCAGGTAGAAAGCTCTCAACCAGAAAATCGGCACATAAGTTTTTTTCCTGAAGAGAAATAAAAATGACACGTTTCCATCGACTGGTTGCTTGTTGAGGATTAACGCTGGTTACTCCCTGCTCCTTGGGAGCGGCTCCGTTTCCTGATATGCCTCTCAAACTGCAGAAATGCAGCCATTTCTCCACATTTCGGTTTTCTAACGCTATCATCAGCATTTCTGCCTCCATGACATGAAAACAAACGAAGACTGAGCGCCTCTGCCTGTGTGTGTGTGTGGTTTCAAACCCCCCTGTCAGCAATCACTGGGTGGGAGACAGTCATAAACCAGGCTTTAGAAGCCAGTAATGGCCCACTGCAGTGCTGGCAAAACTTATATCACATTATGCCTCTTCCCATTCAGACACAAATAGGATCATTATTTTTGATAACTATACAGCAAGTGCTGGATAATTCAATTACATTACTTGCCACTGCATAATTCTGCATTTCAGTTAAATCATCATAAATCTCACCGTGTCCTTGTAATTACTGTATTTGATTACAGAACAAAACGAATCAATAACGCACAGCGTCACAAATAATTAGAACATTATCGCCGATCTGTAAACAAAGAGCAAGTCCTATTTATTCACTTACAGCGATGACAGCTTCACACTGACTGTTGCTTAATGTGGTTATTTCTTATTTTTTTGAACACCATATACTACTGTTAGAAAGACAGGTGATTTAAACCAGCACTGGTCTGGCATCATTTTTATTTGTCCAACACATTTCTGTCTGTTCCTGCAAACTCCAGCATTATTTGCGAAGTACCACAGGTCTATATATATATATATATATATATATATATATATATATATATATATATATAGATAGATATAGATAGATATAGGACAGACCAGAAGTTTGGACACACCTCATTTAAAGAGTTTTTTTTTATTTTCAGGACTATGAAACTTGAAGATTGACACTGAAGACCTCAAAACTATGAATTAACACATGTGGAATTATAAACTTAACAAAAAATTGTGAAACAACTGAAAATATGTCTTATATTCCAGGTTCTTCAAAGTAGCCACCTTTTGCTTTGATTACTGCTTCGCAAACTCTTGGCATTCTCTGGATGAGCTTCAAGATGTAGTCACCTGAATTGGTCTTCCAACAGTTTTAAAGGAGTTCCCAGAGATGCTTAGTGTTGTAGTGTCAGTGCCGCTGTGCCACCATCCAGGGTAGAGGCATTAGCTAGGTTGATGTCATCAACTTTCATTATAGTTGAGGGACTCAAGTCTGTTTCTTTCCTAGACATAGCTATGGGCTTAGCCTTGATTGTGATTAACTGTATCTGCTATTTATTTACATTAGACAAGCTCAGAGCTCATCTGCTTATCTTTTTATTATCCAGGTAGAGCCACCTATGGAGGTGGTTTACCAGTACCCTCGCTAAAATTTGAAGTCTTTATGGTTCAGTGCTTTTCGTGTGGCTGCTTCTGTCTTCTTGAACCCGTCTGCCTTGGCACAAGGACTCTCACACTGAGCCTGGTTCTGCTGAATATTTCTCTCCTCTCCAGTTGCTTCATGCCAGTTCAATGTAAACGATTTTTGCAGTCACACTACTTGTTCAATACAGGAGGAGTGAGGTCAATGACTGTATGCTATCCGCTGGATTTCCTAAGATAGAAAACTTTTAACCAGTCGGTGTGTATTATTTGATTAATTTGTGTTTGTAAAATGCCTTAAGTATGCTGTGAATTGGTAAAAATAAAACCGAATTGAAAAGATTTAATTTACAGTAAGAAATTTCTTCTGATTGGGACATAGCCCTTGCCCTCCTGTGATCCACTTAATAAAATAACAGGCAATCAGTGTTTTAAAAGCTGAGGCTTTTTATTTTTAGGAAAACAGAACATATTACAGGACAAATGTTTTACCCTACAGGCTGTACAAACACATTAGTTATGAATCAAAGAGATCATTTTACAATCTGTTTTTAAACCACTTTAAATGACTACAAGTTAGTCTCCTACACAGATCAGTGTTCACCTCATTAGTCAACATTGCTACAGAAATTGTTTTCAGCTCATGTTAAGTTATTATACAGAGAAGGACATATTTTGCTTGGCCCATGGTAAAGATGCATAAAAAAAAAAAATCTTTCAAATAAAATGGGGTAATCTCTCACAGAAACCCCATACTGAAATGTTAGCTTTAATTTAACTATATTTACTTGTATGTCCACCTTCTTTTTCTATGGATCAAAGTTCCTGTGTAGCCTTGAAGGTTCACCTCTTTCAGTTCAGCACTGCAGCAAAGAGTCGGGTCTCTCACCAGGTCGCCACAACAAGCATTTCTTTGGGGAAAAGTAGCCTTTTTCTGTCCAACTGCCAAAACCATTAACATGCTTTACTCTGAAGCAACAAAAAATGTTGGTTGGAAAAGAATAGCACTGAGCGTTGCTGTAAAAAACACTCCAAGTGGGTTTGGTGTGAGACGATGTGGGAAAACACCTCATCCCTACGAGGCAGAGAAACTGTGCTACTGTGGGCCTGATAGTTCCATTAAAAAACACAATATCAACCAAAAAGGGCTCCCTAGACACAAAATCATTTTTACTCTGGTCATCTCAATTCATGGACCTTAATCATCAAAATAGGAACAAAAAAACAAGGATAAATAAATACAAAATTAAAAACCAGTTGGCTGAGCTGAAGAAGAGAGTATCAGAGAATCTGCACTCTTGTCTAAAGTGGAAAGCAGAATGGCTACAGATCACCCTTGCCTGTTAGCTTCATGGTAATGGAACAGTTCAAGTGGTGTCTGATTGGCATTTTTACAAAGCAGGAACAGCGGGGGTGCCAGAAAATGTGCAACATGTGATTTTGGTAAGAAGCATGAGGTCTTTATCTTTCCACTGAACAGATCAAGTCAAGTTAGTTTGTTTTAAGTGCTGGATTGTGCTGCCTTTTGTTTTATGCTTTTTACAAGTTTTTACTGGGTTTACCAATAAATGTTTAAGTGAATAAAGAATCCAACAAAATTTAAGTAAATTACTCATTTTGAAACTCTTCAATTCCTAAGAGTCTTGTAGTTTCTTTTACACAGTCTCCTCCACAATGAACTCGATTGCATGTTGAGGTGACTGGCTTGTTTCCACCATAGTGATTTCACTCTCCTCCATGGCGATGGAGGGAACTGTAATAGTCTGACCTCCTAGAACAGATGAGGGCAGGATGACGACCTGTGAGGTTCCCTCTATGCCACCGAGCTGATCAGAGGGGATCATCACCGTCTCTGTGCCTTCTTCACCTTCCTGTAGCACATATATGGTCTGCACAGTGCCAGACTCCAGCTCTGTAGTGGTGGTCAGGTTGGACAGTGCCTTGGCCCCCTCCAACACCTTCTGCACGTGAGCGACCTCAGCGGCCTGCACCACCTGCTCGACTGCTTCCGGGGGAATGTCTCCATGTTGGCGCAAGTGTTTGTCCAGATTGGGACGAGAGCGGAAGGCGGCAGGGCAGTGGGGACATGGGTAAGGTTTCTCGCCACTGTGGGTGCGGGCATGCTCGGTGAGACGGGCGGCCACGCTGAAGCTCTTTCCACAGATCCAGCAGCAGAACGGCCGCAGACCAGAGTGGATCCGCTCGTGGTCCTGCAGATGGGGCAGCTGGCGGAAACGCTTCCCACAGGTGGCGCACTGGAGGGAGGATTAGAGGGAGACTTTAGTTCTAAGAGCTCTGCTATCATCTAACACACATTTATATTTTACATACCAAAGCAGTGATACTCATACAGTTTTCTTAACATGTTTGCTAAGCACCCAACCTAAAAAGATGTTATTTTCATTCTCTATAAACTAGTCGTGATTTTAAATAACCAATAGTTACTGAAGCTCTTGAAGTAAAAGGAGAGTTGGAGTAGTTCAGGATTGGGATTGAAATAATGGGACTAAAGTGGGATATTTTTCCAGCAATCAAATCAGCAATCAAATTTATTGACACACGGGTTCATTCATGTTTTAAAAAATTGCACAAATGTAATCACTAAGACAAAAAAAACAACAATCTGTTTTCAAAGATTTCAATTATAATGGAAAAAATAATAAGCTTGGCCCTAAATGTAGATATAATAGTTTGTTTGTAACCCATTAATAAACAGTTACTAAAAACATTGTTGGTTATATCTAAGCCACACAAAGGATTGATTATTTCCTGAACCCAATAACCAGGAAAATGCTTTATTAGAGCTTGTCTGACAGCATAAAGCAGACTAAAATCAACTTAAAATGTCACACTTCATGCTCTAATGTAAAGACATTAAACCACAGATCAGATACTAAGTCAACCAAATCTATCCTCCTGGAAAGTATTAGGATCTGGTTTCTAAGGATTCACAGTTTCAGTTAATTCCACTGGGAGCCTTTACCCAGAAATGAAACTGATATGAAACTGTGATGAACCCTCTTTAAAGTCACCATCCAACTAAAATCTTTCCAAAAGCATATCAACCATTCGTCCAGAAGGTGACAAGAAGAATCCGGACAAACCTAAAGCACTGCAGACTTTTCCAGCCTCAGTTTGGGTCAATTTTAATGATTCAGTACCAGGAAGAGAGCGGAAAAAAATGGTAGCCGAGTTTCACAGAGCAAAGAGAAAACTGAACTCACATTTACAAAGCAGCATACTGATAACACATTAGAAAATACGGTTGTCAAAAATATAGATACACTGAAAACTATCAATAATAATTTGACATGGGGTTGTTTATAAATTATTTTCATATTAAAAGAATAATACTTTAGACAACCTTAAAAGAGCTACATTAAAATTTTCTATTCTGCATTTATTTACACTCTTATTGAACCAGTATCTGAAATTCTGATGAGAAACAACAGTATTTTTTTATCAATAATATTTTTTGTTATGACATTTATCACCATGGTATCAAAATTGGTATTAATTATTTTCCTGGGTCTGGATTTCAAATTTGAAATAATAGTATCCAGAAAACCCTATTAGGGACATATGGAATGAGACAAAAGCCTTTTAAGCTTTAGTCACAGTCTTAGTCTTTTGGACTTAATTGCTTATTTCTTTTAGTCACAATTAAGTCAATTCATATATAAAAATTTTAGTCTAGTTTTTGTAAGATTTAAGAAAAGTTTTTTTTGTTTTTCATGTATTTTCTGCCTGGATACAAAATAAACCTTCTACAGGTGTCATCAAGTGAATTCAAAATTAAATTCAGGTATCATATCTTAAAAAACACATGTAAATGCATTTATTATGTATTTCAACATGTGTTTAAACACAAATTTATTAAATACTGTATTTTAAATATTTTACTTGATTCTTGAGCACATACCATGCTAAAATTGCTATATTTAGCAAAAGATGAGAAGAGATAACCAGCAGATATCGTTCTCCGTTAATGTAGTTTTCCCTCTTTCAGTTCCAGTTTTACTGATTCCTTTTTTTTTCACGAGGACCTCACAAATATTCAAACTGAGCAAAGATTGGGAGACCACAATGATTAAATATAAACCAGTCATAATTAGCTCTAAATATTGAGAATGAAGGTCACAGATCAAACTGAGCCATTAATGCCTGGATCACAGCAAGGATCAACCCAGTACAAAAATATAAATCTATCACAGGACAGCTCCCCATCAGGGATGATAATGAGCTCATTAGCTGCTGGGTAGTAAATAAATGAGTAGTAACAGTACAAACATGATTTTCTTAATCATAGAATGCCAACATCAGAGATTTCAGTCAAGGTCATCTCATGAGGGGACCGTCCCTGGAAACCAGGACATCTGCTCAATATATTCGTATGGCTTTTATCCTAAGCCACCAGATTATGTACATTAAAGCACATAAAACCCAACCTGGTAAACATATACTGACAAAACATAAACAAGGAGCTAAGCTTTGTTGAACACTACATTTGCTGTCCAGCCAAAATTACTTTAACTAATTAGAGCAACTAACCCAACTTTAAGTTACCAGGACCGCACCTTTCTTTTCAAACATGAACATCAAGCTAAAATAAGAAATATTTGTGTAAAGGTTCCTCATCTGAGATGTAGACTCCTCTCCAGTTATCACCTGTGCTTAAAGGCTTTTGTTGCTACAAAGTTTATTAAGTGTATATGATGATTACATTTTTTTCAAAGGGTCATGTAGCTTTGAGAGCTTTTTTATAAAAAAAAAGAAATAATTTACTGTTTGTTTTTTTCACTTCAGAAGGTTTGCAGTTATTTAAAACATGTTGATGAATGAACACAGAAAAAAGCAAAGGGTCGGTAAAGGTCTAAATAGTAGGGCTGCAACTAACGATTATTTTGCTAATCAATTAATCTGTCCATTATGTTTTCAATTAATAATTGGATAGCCAAAGATTCCTTAAAGAACATGTTTTAAGAAATGAAACCAGGCTAAACTAAAACTTTTCCACTAGAGGAGTTCTGGATGGAGCATATTGACAGACAAAATTTGTTTTTAATGTTAAATGCAAAATGTTAAGATATATCGTTTTACAATCTTGGCATAATTACTGCTCTAAGTGGGTTGCTCTGTCAGCTACAAAAATGTTTTGCAGTCTCTATTCTCGAGCGATTGCTAAATTAGTTGAAAACTATTTCAATAATAAATTGATCACAATTAATCCAATTAATTGTCTCATCCCTAATAAATACCAGTCTTTACTACACTTAAGTTTGGATAGTGGACCAAAGATTGGAAATATAAATATTTCTTCTCAATTTTCCAGACTGCTTAGGAACCCTGGTTGTTCCACCTTAATAAAGGTTCAGATTTAAGCTAACTAAAGGAATATCGTCAGTAATCAGCAGTTGCACCTTTTTCTGCCGCGCCGTGATTTGCTCCCTGTATGCTTCCACCTGAATGAGCACAATGAGCTACAACTAAATGCCTGATTAAACCTGAGGCACAACAAAAGACAGACATTCTGCTTTGCTTATATTCCCACTGGGTAACCTCAAATTGAAGCTGCAGTCTCTGACAGATTGGCCCTTCAAGTGTCTCTGAAAAATACTTCTTAATATTCTGCTTACCAGAATGCTCTACATGTTCTATGCAAATACTTGTGTTCTTCCAGGAGGCCAATATATATATATCTGATAAACAGCAAATCTACCGCTGCATATCCTCAGCCTGCAGCAATTCTGATAAATGCATCATAAAGCAAAGTCACTAAGATTAAATCATTTCTAAAACTCTGCATGCGGAGAAGGGTTTGGGTGGGTCTATAGTAGATGTCCTGCTCTGTCGTCTCTGCATCAAAGAAAGAAAAGATCCCAGAATAGCATCAGGCACAGAGGGGAGCAGACAAGCCCCAAGTCAGCCCAGTCATAAATCACAGGTACACAGGGAGGAAGGAATCACCCTCAGGACAAAAAAAAACTGCATAAATGTCTTTGGTGTAAAATGGTCACAACCTACGTGTCTGTTATCATCTCATATAGGCAGGACAAAATCTGCCTTTAAAAGCCAAGACTTTTTATGCAAGCACACACTTCTCCATGACTCCTCTCACCTCGAAGGGTCTCTCATCAGTATGTGTCCTCATGTGAACGCTGAAGGTGGAATTGTATGCAAACTCCTTGAGGCAGATTTCGCAGCGGAAGCGTGGTCGGCTTTTGGACTTGGAGAGCTTTCCCTGGAAATGGGCCAGCACGTGCTCCTCCAGGGCGCTGTTGGAGGTAAATCTGCGGCGGCAGGGCCTCACTGGGCACTTGAGCGGCGTCTGGCCCGTGTGGGATAAACGATGGAGATCGAGGCCCTCTTGGGTCATGCAGCGGTGACCGCAGAGGTCACACTCGACCTATGGGGGAAGAAGGACAGAGAGAGGACAGAATATAGAGTAATGGAGACCAACAAGCAGTGCATGTTCGAACTGAGGCACAAATATAAAAAGAGTTTAGATAAATAAAACAGATCAAACCCTGTAAAAATACCTTACCGAAACTATACATTGGTGCAGTGTATGATTTCACACAGTTATCTTCGATTGATCAAATCCTTTAATATGAGGTGTTTTTAAATAAATAAATAAACCAACTGCTGTAAAGTAAGTCTTTTTTATACTTTTTATACTTTTCTTTAACTGGATTTTGTTGAACTTCTTCCCTATAAATCATCTCTTTCAGTTTCCCTGGTTTAGTAAATGACGCGACACAGAAACCCAGTGCTACTCCATTTCTATTAGACGGGGAGATGGGTAAAAAAAAAAAAAAAAAAAAGTTAAAATACAACAATGTCAGCTCAGTTATCAAGAATGCAAAAAGAATGTCTCCATAGCAACCATCACATCCTGCCAAATGTTTGCTTTTCAGGGTGAGGGAGGTGTTTAAAAAAAAAAGAAAAGAAAAGAAAAATGTCTCTTTTATATTTTTTAATGCTGTGATGCTGTGGTAGCATCACAAATATATATATTTTTGGGAATTTGGTCAAAAACAGATTGTGCTTTTTGGCAACACCTTGATGCAACTCATACAAACTGTTGGGTCGGTGGAGGCTCCATCATGCTGTGGGCCTCCTTCTCCTCTTAAGAACATGCGACTGGTAGTGAACATTTGTGCAGTGAAAACGGGAGAAAGCAGCTAAGCAATTATAAGAAGGGTTTTGTTTGCTGAAAGATTTCTTTTAATTAATTGGGAAATGTGTAAATTTTGATTTGTCATTTTATAGTTAAAATGTGAATAAAACTAATAACATCTATAGCTTTTAAATTTGATGCCACTTTTATATGGTTTGACTGTCTGTTTGATAGATGTAAGTCTGATTTCCCTACTGGAAACAATTCACACAAAAATAACCACTTATCTGAATTTGTTAGGGCTATGACTAAATCTGACACCATACCTTCCCAAATATTATTTTCTTTGCTGAAGATATATATATAAATATTTGAAATGTTCCTACCTGTCCAGTGGAGCGACCACGGCCTTGTCCACGTCCACGGCCGGTGTTCCTGTCCTCCTCTGTGACAGGACACCGCTGCAGGTGGATGTCCAGCACTGACTGGTTGATAAACTGTGACGCGCAGTGCGGGCAGGTCACTGGCTGCTTGTCTGTAATACAAATAGGTCAGGTTTTAGACTAGGAACGTTCTCTGTCTCCAGTGTTCCAACTGCAAAACATTCAACAAATACTTTCATTCACCAATAATGTTCCGCAGGCAATTTAAAACATAACCTAAATACTCTAAAGACGTGTGTCATTAAAAATAAGTTGTAACAGCTGATCCTCGCATAGATATGTGGCTGTTAGTACACAATTATAATGGATTCATAATGAAAGAAACAACAAAACATGTGTTGAATCCAGATGTTGTCATTCTCTGTTCTGTCCCCAGTGACGCCGCAGTGACTGATCCACACTAAATATTAATTAAACACAGCACATTACCAATCTCAGATATAATTAGCTATCCTTTCATGTGTCTATCAGGCTTTTCTTTTAATCCTAAACATGTACCCATTAGCTGTAGGGTAAAGCTACAAACAACCTGCCATCTATCAACAACATCACATTAAACTCCTCTTTGTCAAACCAAACCTGAATCTAACCTTCATTCTGCAAAAAAAAGGTTGGTCTATTTTGCTTTAACCAAAAGATTCTAGTAATGAAACATTTAATAGAAAATTTTGACAAGTTTATTTACAACAATATTAGCAACACTGTTAAAACGGATACAGTCGACATTGCTTTTCAAAGACATGAGGAAGTGGTCTGCACTAGATCTGGCACGGACAGGAGCGGAGGATGTGGATTTCCACAGTTGTCAGAACCTAGATCGATACCATGCTGATTTGTACCAATCCAACCATCTCTTCCTTTTTTGTAAAAGTGAGCATATAAACATTTACAAGAAAAAAATATTTCCATTTTACTCTTTTGTTTACTTTACCTTAAATTGTACTAAATTGGAACCGAAGTCGAATAAAAACCAATTCTGATTTGGTTCTGGCATGTAAATTCACTGCTTTTCCAAGAATTTTACCAAACTTTAACCCCAATCAGTTCTTTAAAACTAATTTCACTCAACTACTGAAATCCTGTTTGAAGTCAAGCCAAACCTTTTTAATATTACTTTTCCCATTAATAAACGAGCTGGTGGTGGATTAGGTAACAAAAAACTCAAATGACAGACAAATCCAAATTTAATGAATAACCACAACTAAGTGAAAAATCCTGACATTTCTAAAACTTTTCAGGTCTAAATTTAAAATAAAAATAAAAACTTTCAGCAGCTTTAGGTTTACCAGCCATCATTTAGGTTTAGCCATCTTACTCTAAAATACTCTAAAAATAACAGGTAAACATGTAAATGTTTATTCCAGTATAGAATATAGAAGATATTCTTAAAAATAAATAAATAAAAGAAAGTAAAATAAAAGATCAAATATGCATCTTTGCAGCAATGATGTTCAGTTTTACTTTGGTATAATTTTTTTTTAAAACCACTGACTATCAGCTGGTTCAGCTCCACATGTATTATGGAATCCCTCCAAACTTGGACTGTACACCCCTGCCTTCAAAGGTTGCTCTGTCTGCTGCCAGAAGGGGGCGCACGTGTTCACCTGCCTTTATGCAGGCCTCCGATGACATAGTATGCAACTAGCAGGGCAGACGGTTTGTCCATGTTTTCATGGCGCTGAGTCAAGGTCCTATTACAGGCAGGTTTTACACATATACTTCAAAATAAGGATGTAAATTTGTTTTGTTTTTTTTATAAAGTTTCTGTAGCCATTACAGTTATTATTATTCAGCATATTGGGTTAATTCAGCTAAAGGGAGCCCAGATTTCAGTTAAAGCGACGACACGCTCATTCAAATAATTCATTTCAAAGCAAATTATTCAAATGGCAGAACAAAAAAATGCTTGATATCAAACATCACATAAAATACAATCGTCCAACTTGATAAAGAATCTCCTATTACTTTATGACTTCTAACATACAGGTGCTGGTCATAAAATTAGAATATCATGAAAAAGTAGATTGATTTCAGTAATTCCATTTAAAAAGTGAAACTTGTATATTATATTCATACATTACATACAAACTCATATATTTCAGATGTTTATTTTGTTTAATTTTGATGATTACAAATGACAACAAATGAAAATCTCAAATTCATCATATCAGAAAATTAGAATATTGTGAAAAGGTTCAAAATTGATGGCCCCTGGTGCCACACTCTAATCAGCTAATTAACTCAAACCACCTGCAAAAGCCTTTAAATGGTCTTTCAGTCTAGTTCTATAGGCTACACAATCATGGGGAAGACTGCTGACTTGACAGTTGTCCAAAAGACGACCATCGACACCTTGCACAAGGAGGGCAAGACACAAAAGGTCATCGCTAAAGAGGCTGGCTGTTCACAGAGCTCAGTGTCCAAGCACATTAATAGAGAGGCGAAGGGAAGGAAAAGATGTGGTCGAAAAAAGTGTACAAGCAAGAGAGATAACCGCACCCTGGAGAGGATTGTGAAACAAAACCCATTCAAAAATGTGGGGGAGATTCACAAAGAGTGGACTGCAGCTGGAGTGAGTGCTTCAAGAACCACCACACACAGACGTATGAAAGACATGGGTTTCTGCTGTCGCATTCCTTGTGTCAAGCCACTCTTGAACCACAGACAGCGTCAGAAGCGTCTTGCCTGGGCTAAAGAGAAACAGGACTGGACTGCTGGTGAGTGGTCCAAAGTCATGTTCTCTGATGAAAGTAAATTTTGCATTTCCTTTGGAAATCAAGGTCCCAGAGTCTGGAGGAAAAGAAGAGAGGCACTTCATCCACGTTGCTTGAAGTCCAGTGTAAAGTTTCCACAGTCAGTGATGGTTTGGGGTGCCATGTCATCTGCTGGTGTTGGTCCATTGTGTTTTCTGAGGTCCAGGGTCAACGCAGCCACATACCAGGAAGTTTTAGAGCACTTCATGCTTCCTGCAGCTGACCAACTTTTTGGAGATGCAGATTTCATTTTCCAACAGGACTTGGCACCTGCACACAGTGCCAAAGCTACCAGTACCTGGTTGAAGGACCATGGTATCCCTGTTCTTAATTGGCCAGCAAACTCTCCTGACCTTAACCCCATAGAAAATCTATGGGGTATTGTGAAGAAGAAGATGCAATACACCAGACCCAACAATCCAGAAGAGCTAAAAGCCACTATTAGAGCAACCTGGGCTATCATAACACCTGAGCAGTGCCACAGACTGATCGACTCCATGCCACGGCGCATTGCTGCAGTAATACAGGCCAAAGGAGGCCCAACTAAATACTGAGTGCTGTACATGCTCATACTTTTCATGTTCATACTTTTCAGTTGGCCAACATTTCTATAAATCCTTTGTTTTTATTGGTCTTCAGTAATATTCTAATTTTCTGATATGATGAATTTGAGATTTTCATTTGTTGTCATTTGTAATCATCAAAATTAAACAAAATAAACATCTGAAATATATGAGTTTGTATGTAATGTATGAATATAATATACAAGTTTCACTTTTTAAATGGAATTACTGAAATCAATCTACTTTTTCATGATATTCTAATTTTATGACCAGCACCTGTATAACCTTATAATACTGAAGGCTCCTCACATCCTAATTCATATGGTGATAAGTTGCAAAGCAGTGAACTACGCAGCGGTTTCTACTATTTTTCCTGCATTGATCAATTTGATGGTTAAACTAGTCGATTGGTTTCTATACAGCTGGTGTCCCAGATAGGTTTTGGCAAAGTAAACCAAACTCTCAGCGGGTCAATCTAGAAAAGCTGGCAGCAAACTGCTGGCATTGATGGTTCATCGTTATGTCCAAAGGCCATCAAGCCAATATCTCACAATCTGCTAACCATCTGCAGTGTGTATCCCATTAGCGAGCTGCACTCTGCTCCCTGCTGGGACCCCCTAATTAAACCTTTAATAAGGACAATCTCAGCTTACAGCCTTGGACTGATCAATAGATCAATCTCTCCCATCATCTTTCTCCAAGGAGACACGTCCCTCTGACCTCTGCTGGACGCTGACTCCTCGAGCTTAACTAATGAGGTTGCAGTGCCAACACCCCCCTGATTAAGATGAAGTGTCAACATGTTGACCCAGTTCATTTAGCTCCGCCCAGCTTCTCCATTCCATTTGGCATACAAATCAATTCAAAATCAGTGATTTCAGAGGAAGGACGAACACAACGCACTGCTGCGTGTAAATAAAAAAAGAATAAACCACCTACACAGTCTGATTCATTTATCAAGAGCTTTGAACTAATTGTTTGCTGTACTGATAAGAACATGATCTCTGATTGATTTCCATTACAGTGAGCTATGGGCTTTCATTCGGTTCCTCGTTATGCTCGTCACATTCTGTCAGTTTCCTATCCCTGTATTGAACTGCCAATGAAAGCCAACAATAATCAAGGTTACACAGAGGTAGACGTAAACGAAAGCTGGAATTAAAAGCAAACGTTTAAACTCAGACTGCTTCAGTTTGTCCTGGTAAGCTCACCTTGATGTATGAGAGAGTGAAGGTCCAGGTCCTTCCTGCGTTTGAAGGCCTCTCCACATTCAGGGCAAGGGAATGGATGGCTCGTATGGAGCAATCTATTGACAGAGACGGGGTATAATTCAATAGAACATCTCATATGGGGCAGATAAATACATATAAACACAACTAAAGCATGAACAGGTAGGGTTAATACGATGCTAAATGTATCTGAATTAATATCAGTCGATCTAAGACATCTTTAACAAAGGTCCTTTGAATGGAACTGGAAAAATATTAACAGATATGCTCATCTTGTTGAACTTAATAGTGAATGTTGGTTGTTTAACTGAAGCAGAGAATGATAAAGAAGCCAAGAATATTTCAGCAAGTTTCCTATCGGTGCTTCTTTAGTTAATGCATGTGTCAAAATTTATGACTTTAAAAAAAAAAAACTTTTTTTTAACCTGGCATGAGCCAGATCGATCGTTGTACTTCAATTTGAATTTTACAGCATCCTTCTGAAAACGCTCCTGTTTGCAAAAGGTAGGGACATTTATAAAATTCTTCGAGCCGATAGGGTAAATGACAGAGTGGCCCAGCCTCTCATATCGAGGTTTAAGCCAACTGTAGCAGCAGCTGTGCTGTATCACAATCTTGATTTGTTTCACAACTAGTTAAACTGAAAAGTCAAACTCTTGCCAAATCCAACAAGGAGGAATGTGCAAACGTCTTTCCCATCCACAAAGGCACAAATTGTGTCCTTTTGATAAATTGCAATAGATGGTATCCGAGCTAAAACGGACTAAACAGCGGAGTCTACAGGTGCGCTTACCGACACATCTATGGTTGTTTTGTTTCAGCCCGTTGCTTCTGGTTGACATCAAACACGTCACTGCAAACCATTTATTCAAATGGTAATGTAACATTTGGCTTCTGGTAAGATTTACTTTCAGGGGTTTGTGAATTTACAAATCTCATGACAATTCATCTTGTTTGGAAGGTAAAAACTCTTTAGACTTTTTAAAAAGCTTAAAAGTTTTTAATCAATAACAGGCAGATAAGGTTTTGAACAAAGAACCTTGAAAACAATACAACATGGCGAGGAAAGGAGCCATCTAAATGGAGGTTTCGTCACAAGATTTCTCCAGAATTGAGACGACAAACTCGAAGTTGTTGTCTCAAACTCGAAGTTCGTGACACAACAAACTAAGTATTGTTAGGTTTGTAACTCTTTAATTGCTGTGATTACGTTCTGATTCTCTAACCACTTCAATTGTCTGGCCAATAGCCGTCCTGTTTTTTCACCGTTTTCATAGAAATTGGTTTTGAGCCTGACAAATGCATATTCTGCTTTCTTATTGTAAATTTCATGAAGGTTAAATTTCATTTTGCATATTCTATTAAATTTGTTTTCATCGTGATTTTCTGCCAGTTGTTTTTCCAATTCACTTATCTGTTTTTCCAGTTTTTTGACTTTTTCTTTCCCCTCTTTTACTTTCAGGTTTGTAACTCTTACATTTGATCTACTGTTACCTACAGGACAGAAGAAATGAATATAAATATTTTCAAAAATATAAATAGATGCCATTATGGTGTACTTGTTATGCTTGACGCATGTAAAACTTGCATGGAAAATGTGCTCCAGGGGGGAGTGATCAGAACAGCAAGCTGACAACACCAAAATAACAACAACGTTATCAAAGCTTCTTAATGCCGTTCAAAAGCAGTCATTTCGTTCCAGGGGTTTTTCAACAATTTATTGATAGTGGTAGCCACGTGGAGAGTCATGGAAGCCCAGCATGATGTAATCTGGCTGTGTAGGCCTCACAGACACATCAAGCATAAACCAGGCTTTAGCAATGAGTTTCAATGTTTACTGCCACTGGTGTCCTTGAACAACCAGAGTCAATAGTCAGTAAATTGCACTTAGTTGATCCCTTTTCTGTTTTTTGTTTTTTTTATGCAGTCACACAACTACAACCATGCAATCTGGTGCCACATTTAAAAACCAAAAGGAATCTTTCAATATTTCTATAATCACTTTTATCATTATTTAAAAAAGTACTACCAAATATTGTGATAACTTTAAACTCTCAACCCCCCCCCCCCCCCCCCCCCCCCAAATAAAGGGGAAAAAAATTGAAGAATGAAGAGAGGACCGATAGAAGAAAAAGGAAAAATTTAGATTTTTTTTTTCCTACCTCCGTTCCGGTTTGGAAAATATGTCAATCAACTTCTAGATTTTCCCTGAATGAGTAGGAACCTTGTATACTGGTAGCCATTAAACCCCAGAGGTAATTAAAAGAGGAGATTATCACACCTCCAAATATAAAGACTAAATTTCCAAATTACACACCTGTATAAATCTGTGATAGAAATCACAGTTTGCTTTTCACTGCCTCGCTACATTTGTGGGAGGATTAGCAGCATGTGTGTACTTAGCAGTACTCCAGTTTAAATAAAGGCATTAGCTGAGTGTATAGCAGCTAAAGATAAAAGAACAGCAATAAACTGGGAGGAGCTACGGTCAGGACATGAAAGACTATATTTATCCATTGCATAAGTATAGCGAGTATAGCCTTAGGGGAGGAGAACAGTGTAAGGATGTATTCACCTAACGCAGCATTAAGGCTGCGTTCATAGTGTGAAGGACCAACAAATGCTGCTGTTACACCAGTTTCCCCTAAACAGAACAAACGTAGGAGGATGTTTTAAGTTTTAGAGCATTTATCCTGACTTCAAAAGAGCATCCTTTTTCACTACATACACATAAATACGTCCCTGTTAATTCATACTATATTAGGTACGTTTCATCATAGATGCACTGAACCAAACTGTAAAAATAAAGCACTAAAGGTGAAAGCAAGGTCAGTGCAGGAAACCAGAAAGTTTCTCTCGCCTGTTAAAAAGACAATAAAATCAATATCAGGGAGAACTGACCTCAGAGGCACCTGGAGGATAACCTATTTCAGACAAGACATTGTTCCACCTTTTAATCATGTGTTTTTGTCTTTTAATCAATCACTGTATTTCTTTGAACCAAATATGGAAATCCTACAACATTAAAAATGTAAAATGGTTACTTTCCCTTTCATTACAAGAAAGAGGACATTAGGAAAGGCAGTAAGTCCAACCAGAGATGGAGCAGTATGGCACATAAAATAAATCAATCAGACAAGGGCATACTGAAAATGTAAACATTAACCTTAATAAGGATTAAATAAAGTGCTGCACATAGAATTCATGCATTTTTCAATTATTTTTCCACAGCAAGTGCAAACTTTTAGGTTTGTTGCATTGATGAATGCTTTAGTCAAGTCTGGCAGTTCTGTAGTGCTGGATTTTGTTTTGATGTATTAGGATGAATGAGAGTGGGGAAAAACAAAGCTTCCACTTGAATTTGCCTAAAAACCTTTTATAAATTATGCATAATTTCATCATCCTCCTGAAAAAGCATTACTTTTTCCCTTGTCTCTCACATGAAATCAACATGAAATACATGGTTCACGTGATACGAATTATTTTGTAAGACACTGCATATTCCTAGAGATTCCATTAATCTGATAGCATTAAGAGAATATTCAATTATAAATTTTCCATTTTCCTAATTAAATTTCTAGATGTGATCTCAAGGCCCTCCTCTGAATGTGTATCAATCCTCAGCTGGGTCCTGAGCACTGGGAACCACTGCAGCACCGGGTCGTCCTTGGATATCATTGATAAAAGGGGAAACCATTAAAAAAGTATTAAACAGGGAAACCAAATGAACCATCTGTCCTTCGCTGTTCATCACAGACTTGTTTCTGCTAATCAGATCAATGTGATACAGGCCAGTTGGTAAAAATCAAGTCCTGCCAAACCCATTTTGGAGATGAATAAAAAAAATAAAAAAAAACCTCTTTCATCAAGAACATCCTTTAAAGTCTTTCACATGTGATTAAGGCAAAGCGCACATACACTAATCTCTCTGCTAAAAGTGTGTATGCATGAGGCTGCAATACATATGTATTTGACTCCATAAGGAGCCAGGATTAGCCCAGATTATTTACTTGAGGCAAGTCAAAAGATATACAGTATTTGGTCCAGAGAATCAAAGTCCTGATGCTTTCTTTGAAAGATCAGACAGACTATTATATTTTACTGTGAAATGGGTCTTTTTTTGCTTTGGAAGTGAGAGCAAAGATAAGAAATAAAAAATGGGAAGCTTTTATGTTAGCTTTTTTTAATGTTTATGGCTTCCAAGATAATTAGATGAATGATTAATCATTTAAGAGCCAAAGCTAATGTATCATTTCCCAGCAGTTGTTTCAATAAGATCATCATCTTGCAAAAAAGTGTGTTTCATTTCTCCTATATTTGTATTACAAACACATAGAGTAATGTTGATATTCTCAACACATTTCAGCAAGGAAGGATATGACCAAGCTTGTCCACCTTCCTATACTGTTATCATTACCATCTTAATTTACTCGGCCTCTAGCTGTCAATCGCATGCAGGCTCAGGCTCAAAGGCACCCAGACATCTGCATCTCTGCTGCTCAGCTTAAAGGTCTAGCACAGCATTCGGACACTGCTCGGTTCGCACAGCCCATCGACAGGAGGTGAGGTTATCTAAATCCTGTGCTTGCTCTATAATTTTAAATGTAAACAGACATCTAAGAATGATTGAATACCGCAATCCACATGACATGGTGTAGTTATTTCTACCAATGGCAGCAGATATCCAGTGAGAATAATACTAGAAGAGGTTATTACCTGTGATCATTAAGCTGTTCTTCAGTGCTGAAGTGTGATGGACAGTGTGGACAAGGAAAGAGAGAAGCAAATCCATCAGCGTCCACGTTACATGCCTGCTTTGACAAACACAAAAAGTCCAAATCGATAAGAAAAACAATTTCCAAACGTGTTATCGTGGTAAAGAATAGATTTGAAATTGTTTTCTGAATAAAACGAATGCATCTGCTGGAACTATAGTGCTTTGGAAAAGTATAGATAGCACAACCTTTTCATATATTGTCATGTTGGGGGAAAAAAAACACAATTGAATGCATTTTATGTGACAAAATCAAAGCAAGTTTCAATGTGTCATGATGTGAAAATGTGGAAGAAAAGAAAACGTGGTTTTCTATTCGAAAAAAACAAAACAAAAACACAATCACTTCAAAGAAGCGACCTTCTTTTATATTCAGCCTCTTTTTCTTTGAGGAAGCAAAATACAATCTACAATTATCACCAAATTAAGTCAACATGCCTGTAAATAAATATTATATTTATTCAATGAAGGAAATGATTAAACTGGGAGTCAAAGGTCCATGGTAACTCTGGGGGATGTGCAGAGATCTACAGCTCAGTTAGAGCTATTATCCACAATTAACATCAAAATAAACCTTTTCTGGCGTAGGTGCAAAGCACTATGTGTACAAGAAAATTAACATTGCAGGCACCTCTTAAAAGATAATTTCCATAGCGAAACAAGGTGGTGGCAGCATCATGCTGAGAGGATGCTATTCTCCATTGAGAAAGTAAGACAGGAAGATTTAAACGTGGAGGAATACATTTGTTTACCAGAAGATCAGCCCCCCTTGGTATACAAAGAGGGCCAAGATCAAATTATTTTATAAACTAGTTAAAATCCAATTTTATGTTACAAGATTTAAACATTGATGTTTCTAAACATTTAATCTAAGAAGGAGCTATTTTACAAAAAAAGAAGCAATTGGGAATAACTTCTGAAAGTTATTACGGTATTTCAGTAAGCTAAATACAATTTTAATCGATGCAGAACACCTAGTTATAATATCCAGAATTATTAACTGCCATTTGTTTGTCTATCACAAAAATCCTAATAAAATACAATTTGTATTTGTGACATAACTGAATGTTCAAAACATTGAGGGGTATGGATTACTTTTGCAGAGCACTGTAGTTTAAGCTTTAGCATGCCAGGACTGATTTGATGAGGGGAGAAGGGAAACTTTACTGGTTTGCGGCCTCTCTTGCGCGGAGGTTCCGTCGACGTGTGAATGAGTTGGTGTCTTTTCAGGGTGGTTGCCTGCGAGAAGCTTTTCCCACAAACGTCGCAGCAGAAGGGCTTGTTGCCCGTGTGGTTCATGCTGTGTCGCAGCAGGCTCTGGGAATTGGTGAAGGACTTTGTGCACACCTTTACAACAACAACAACAGAGGATTAGTGATATGTACATGATTATGGGAGTTTTAATTACCTTTTGGGTAACAAAGATACATCTGTGTAACTGAATGCAATAACTGAAAGGCTGTCTGGACACATTACTATAGATATTTTTCACAATAGAGCTAATAAAATTGTGGAGAATTTTTTATTTTGATGAAATCATGTCACCCTCAATAAAATCCTCCACAAATGTGTATGGGCTTTTTATGTTACCGTTATAAAATCAGTATTTTATCCACGGATGCCCACACCTGACAGACTGCATAGGTGTATGCTTAATCAAAATCTAATTTTCAAAACATTTCCTGTTGTTCAAAGACACCGGGGGAGCTGTCAGATTTAATGAGCCCGGAGGCTCAAGCTGTGTCATCCTCCTCACTTAGAAGTATTACATCATCTCATCAAAGTCAGCCTCACGACCTAAATGATCTTTACATCAAAGCAAATTATCCCTGAGATTCAGGGAAAGGGACACTTTGATTAGAGCTTCTGACTGGCACCTTGCACGTGAAGAGCTTCTCTCCGGTGTGGCTGTAGACGTGGGTGCGGAGGAAGACGCGCCGAGTGAAGGTTTTGCCGCAGTAAGGGCAAACATGGGGCAGCGGTGTTCTGGCCCAGTCTTGCAGCAACTTGGCAGGTGGAGGTTGGTTCGTGTTGTTCACGTCAGCTGCAGCGCTGCCCTCAGAGTCATCTTTGGCCGCTTTGTTTCCTGATCACATAAATCAAGAGTTATTAGGGAAAACTCCTGCAGGAAGACAGCGCCAAACAAAGTATTCATAGACTGCCAACTGTTTAGTGATGCTACGTTCACAAACTTTAATGCATCATATGGTGTTAAGCTTCATAGCTGTAAAAGTTTGAGAGAAAAAAAAATTGTTTTAAAAAGGTTTTTCTGATTAAAATCCAAAAAAGTGAGCCATGTACTGGCATTCAGACCCCCTCAATGTGATAGCGTTGGATAAAATCCAGTCTAGGCAAACAATGTATCTATTAACAATGAAGCCAAGATGATAAAGCTAACTACAGAGAAGGAACTGAGATTTACAGATTATGCGAATTCATCCGACTCTGCAAGCTCTGATGCAGTGCTTGTAGAGAGGCTCCAATAAGGCATAGGTGAGCAGATCCTGATCAGTGTAGGATTATGCCGCATTTTTCCAGTGTAAAAAAACAAATAGAAACAATGGCCCACATTTGAGTGAGTCAGATTATGAAAAATCTATAAAGTATATATTTGTTTAACAGTTGGAGGTCAAGAAAGCAAAGTCACTATCATAGAGCCCCACTGGCTGTTAACCAAATATAAAGCGACATCCAACTTCCAACAGGTAGGATTATAATGAAGTCTCTATAAAATATAATGCCAAGTATTTTTAAAGCAAACTCTGCAACGCTAAAGACTTTGGAACGGCTTATATCGGGATGAGCCCAATAAAAAGTTGTTCTTAAAGAGAGTTTCTAAGGTTTGTCCTAATTTAAAAAAGTAGTGAGTGCAACAAGCTTTGCCCATAACACATTGTCCATTATTGTTTTTAGACCTAAAAGAGGATGGCTATTTTCCTTTCCTGTCCTTCTGACGTCTTTAAGTACACCGTTTGTTAAAATGCTTTATTAATTGTTTATAAACAAGTGTGGTGAAACCGTGGTGGTATACTTCGCGAGTCAGAGATTTAACTTTGCATATTTGAAGGTAAACATGTACCACGGCCTCGTATGACCAGGTTTTCCTTCAGATTGGACAATAAATTGTGTCCAGGCCTATATCCATGCAGGCTCGATCATGGTCATTATGGAAGAATGTCAAGAAGAAAACATTGCAGCATTTTAAGGATGTGACAGTGCCAAACTGTGGGGATGCTATTCTATAGTAGCAGGATTCTCACCAGGATTTTTGAGTATAAAGGTTAGGGGGATTGGTGGTGTGCACAGAATGTTACTAAAGAGAAAAAAGTTTTTGCTAATTCAGGAAGGGCCTTGTTGTTGGGGCATAGAACCACCTTTGGATAAAGATAGCAGAATCGCTGAACCTGCTTTAGCCTTTCCCATTAAACAAAGATTAGAGGCATAACCAAAAAAGGAAAAAGTGAATACAGAAAGTCTTGACTAAAGCAGGATAAGGGGTTGAAATGCACAAATGCATTACACAAAAAAAGAATTTTTTTATATATATATATATCTATTCTGATAATATTTCACTATCCCTAACTCTTTCAGACAAACTGAAGGTTTAAAAATAAAGATATGAAGAAGTCTGTAAGAATAATTTCCTCTCACCTTGTTGGGCGTTAGCACTAACAATCCTAAATGAAGGCCGACCTCTCTTAGGTAGGGGGGACCCAGATTCTCCAGCAGGGGGGGAAAGCCGTTTCTTTGAGCTTTGTGCGCCACCCTCAGACGTGGCGTTGGCTGATCCATCACTTATTTCGACCTCATGAGCCGCCGCGTTCATTGTGGTGGAACGATGCTGACGCCAGTGGTACAGAAAATGAGTTGTGTTCATGAACTCCTCCCCACAGTGGGAGCAAGTATGAAGAGGTGCAGTGAGGCTGTGCTTTTCCTTACGATGTGAAGCAAGGCTTATACCATCTTTGAAACCCTGGGCACACTGGGAGCAGAAGAAATGCTCAGGCTGTGTGAATGTGGGTTTCACAGAGCTAGAGGAAGAAGCTGAATCCTGAGTATTGCTCCCGTTGTTGAGGGTGTAAACCGCTGCTTTGACCTCAGGGGCCGCCGCCACCGTTTCCTCACCCTTCTGCCTGTGCTGTTTTCGGTGATAGAGGAAAAGCGTGGTGTTTAAGAAGCTTTCTCCACATACAGAGCAGCGGTGCAGAGCTTCCTCAAAGCCGTGCTGGGTCTTGCGGTGGGACACCAGCTCAGACACCAGACCAAAACACAAGCCACAATCCACACACAGCAACACCGGCTCAGGCTTTGGCTTTTTGGTTACCCCTCTCCTCCTTGGAGATGAATCATCTGAAGCAGGCACCTCAGCAGCAACACCATCTGAAGTCTGAGCTGAGGAGGCCTCTGCAGCCTTCATCTCAGCTGCCTCTGCAGCAATTCCCTCTTCTAATGATTTAAGGGCCTGGCTGCTTTCACTGTTTGAGACGGAAGCATCATCTGTATTAATTGAGGCAGCCTGGTTGTCAGCTGTGGAGATCTCTGGCTCCACCTGTGACTCCAACGCGGCCTTCAAGGCAGCTTGCTCACAGCTCCCTTCTCTGCGATGCTTCTGCCACTCTTCAAGGCTCTTGAAAAGTTTATCACAATCCCCACACTGGTAGAGGATTCTGGGCTGGTCTGTTTGTTGCCTTTCAGCTTCCGCACCATCTTCAAGTTCTTTCTTAATGTTGTGCACGGGGGAATGAAGTGAGTCACCCTCCGTCTGAGGAGCATCGCTCTCTGGTCTATCGCTTTGTTGGATCGTAGCGGCCCTGGAGATGTTTATTACATGTTGCTAAAGAAAAAAGGGGAGAGAAGACAGTTTTATTATTTTCAATGTTTACATGACCTTTCCCTTAAGAAAATTACATGGGCAGAAGGATCCATTAGCATTTCTGTAAATCAAATCTACCCTATAGCGTTAATCTCATATCTGCTTTTTTCCAAGTGGATGAAAAATGGCCGTTCATTGTTGGGAAACGCGGGGGAAAATGGGCCAGCATACTTAGAACCAAGGTTCCTAAGAGTTGTTCAGGTACAGCCTCAGCATGAACGACATAATGCTGAAGAGCCATCAAGGTCAAACACGTCACTGGATCAGGTTTCAAATTTGCTCCTACCCACTTGTATAACAAGAAAAAGAACATGGGGGTCAAGTCTAAAGAAATTTGGAGCTCCTTCAATCACTCTAGCCTCACATGACTCACAGTCTAATGATAAGTTGGTTGAGGTGGCATTCAGATATGAGTCATAAAAACCCCTTTCTAGAAAAAAGCTCCCCTATTGTAACCACATCTCAAAATTAAAATGCATTTTACTCTAAAAGATTATTCACTCCATGTAAAAATGAATGTGAATCACAAGCTGTACCCTCTAACACGTATTTATACTCAACAGTACCACTACTCACAGTATAGAACAATATCCATGCTAGGCTAAAGCCTTATGAAATTAACCTTTATTGGTTCTGTTTCGCTGAAATGTATTGCAGTTGTTACCTGGGATACTCTTCAAGTAAAGTGAATACAGCCGCTGTTGGAGTCACTAATTACTGCAAAGCAAGTAATTAAGCAGGAAGCCAAGCGGGGAAAAAATGCAAAAGCAAATGTGGATTGCAAACTGCCTGCTGCGCCATTAGACAGCAACGAAATCCTCCAAGCGTGTGCCTTGCTTTTATAAAGTATGCATCACCAGATCAGACAATAGAAAGATATTAAAACTGGTATACTTAAGATTTTATTTCACATTTTGTTTATGTTACAGAGGACTGCAAACTGGCACATAATTGTTAAGTACAAAAATAAAATAAAATAAAAAACATTTTTAATGCAACTTGGGGAGAAAAACAAAAAATTTTGTTTGTAGTCAGTTACGATATCAAAATTATATATTAAAAAAAATCCAAACAGTTTGTATTCCTAGATGAAAAACCTTTTTGTCCATTAATATGCTCCATCCAGTAGTCCTCAAAGGCCAGCTTTAGCTTCACTAGGTTTTATTTTTTGTAAAATCTCCTTTAGGGAACCTTTTGCTATGCAACTATCAATTAAAAAAAAAAAAAAAGAGAAATCAACAGACTAATCGATTAGCAAAAAAGTCATTAGTTGCAACTCTACATGAATTTACAGGTTTTGCTAAAGTTTCTCGATTACATTAGAAGAAAAAAACCTTTGATCTAAACCCTTCAATAGTCTGTATGCTAATGGAGGCTGTTCTGTTGGTAGGTATTCTCCTGCTATAGCCTTGATTCTTAATAGATTTCATCTTCCTACTTAAGAAAACAGCAGTCACACAGCATGATATATCCACCACTGTGTCTAAGTATAAGGATGGAGTGTTCAGACTGGTGGAATATATAAATTAAGTTTGTATGTTCAATAATCTTTTACGGGTGAAGTTTTGTTTACATTCTTTTGTCATTTATTTTTAAAATGTACAATATTTTTTTTCTCCAAAGTTGGAATCTATCATTTATTGAGGAATGGTAATTTAGCAAAACAATTTTCATTATTAGATGAATTGATTCATCTGAAAAACAATTGATGGATGAATTGATTTCAGAACATCGATTGCTGCAGCCCTAATATATTTTTATGAACCTCTGAGGGATTTGGAGAACAGCTGGATTTATTCTGGGTTTATGATGCATGCTGGTTTTAAGTGGTTTTAGAGGAAAAAAGTGGCTGGATACAAACTCAAACCACCCTTTTCCCCTTTATCTGCTTAATATTTTACCAACAATGCATAATATTCCTTCAATTTTCGCTCTACATTATGTTGACCTATCGATATATTATCCAATTAAATCACTAAAAGTTTAAATTTGTAACACAATGTCAAATAAAATACTTTCAAGCTAATGTGTAATATTATGGTGTCTTTTCTGAAGCTCAATTGTTTTTTCATTGTGGCAACAGAAAGCAATCATACCTCCATCAAATGTTTGCTAACAAACAGTGTGATTTTATTACAACCTCCTTAGAAGCAGAGAGATTAGAGTGGTGGGTAATTTTCAACATGCTTTGCGAAAACAGGTCATGGAATTCAATAAATATTGGCAGGAGGGTAACAGTTACTGTATAAAGCAACGTAGAAGGTTACGTTAATTAATTTAATAACATCATTAATGTACCATCATAAAGATGTAGACGGACACATATGAGTTTAGACTAGGGCTGCAACTAACGATTATTTTGAAAATCGATGAATCGGCCGATTATTTTTTCGATTAATCGATGAATCGGACACAAAATATTTTTTTATATTAACCTCTTTATTCCAAAATAAACATTTTATTCAGAACAAACAAGCACACCAGTACAGGTTTCTCATTAACTGTACTGGTGCAATATGAAAAATAAATGTTTGTGTTAAAACTACGCAAACTTACATGAGAAATGTAGCTGTACATCCACAAAATATAGGGTATTTTGTTTCATAAAGCGCAAAAAGAGACAGGCATTTTTGTTTTTTAAAGCCCCTAAGGGGTTCAAACAATAGGCCCCCCCATTTCAACAAATGAGGTTTTTTTAGACTAGAAGAGTTCTGCCTTTTAAGACAGGAAAGTATAGCAGTTAAAGTTGCTACTTAAGAAAATACTGAACCATAGAGATAAAAATAGCCCTGTGATTCAAATTATAAATTGTATTTGGAATAAAAATGAGAGAACTAGGGGTGCTAAAAAACACATCCTCCAAAGACAGATATTTACATGGGAATTGGGCAGATAATTAATTGACATATTACTGATCTTGCTGGATTTTATTCTGCTTTACTTCCATAAATTGCAGGATCTTCTTTAGTTTATCTTTGCCAGAAGATTTAAACTTTAAAAGCCTTGCCCTCATAATTTGCAAATTAATTTATTTATAAAGTAAATATAAACGCTGCTTAAGCTAATTCAAATGAAATTAAAAGTAAAATAAGTAGCCAACCTTATCACTGTCTGTAACCTACTAACATGGTAAGGAAAGCATCAGATGAGCTACCTGAGAAACTAACTTACGTTTCCCCACTTTAAAACCAAACAAACATGGTTACTCATCCTGCTGATCAGCTCTCTTCACTGCCATTGAAGGCTCCAACATGTTTTCTTTTCAGGTGCTGCGTCATAACAGTGGTGCTTCCGTGCCATGTTTATTTGTTTTTACAAAAGTCGCATGTTACGACTTTTTTCACTTTACTAAGCGCAGGCTATTTTAAGTATTAATCCCGGAGCATTCGTGCTTCATTTGCAGTCTGGACGCTGAGGGTAAACTCCTCACTAAAATCCTGCGGCTCGGACTGCAGCGCTGAGAGGGATTCCTGTGGGAGAGGGAGAAAGGCGTTGGGATGGGGCAGGCGCCCCACGGCAGCAGCTGCCGCTGGAGGACAAGAGTAGGAACGATACATGCTTTCACGTAAGAGTCTCCAAAAGCCGCCAGTGACACCGTAAAAAGTCGCCAGATTTGTCGCTAGTCGCTTTTTAAAAAAATAGTCGCTGGAGGGGTCTGAAAAGTCGCTGAGTTGGCAACACTGCAACTGCGGCGCTGACTCGCTCCGCCATATTTTTTTTTCTTCCCCGGGATGACGGCGACGGCGGATGACGCATTAATCGCGCGACACAACTAATCGATGATTAAATTCGTTGCCAACGCTTTTAAAAGTCGATTTTTATCGATTTTATCGATTCGTTGTTGCAGCCCTAGTTTAGACAATCATAATCACAGCTCTCTTAGAAGTGGGAGGAAGAGAACAGAACGAGCTGAGCTGGCAGCAAAATAGAACAGACATTAAATCACCATAAATGTTACCTGAGAATTAAATAATAGATAAATGAAGAGCTTGGTGGAAAGACTCAGTTTAAGTGTGAAAAACTAAGTATGGACTAATTTTGACTTCCTTAGAGGAGGCTTCTGCAGACCAACTTATCTGATCCCTTTCTGAACAGATACCAACCAGCTTTAGAAGTTAATGTCACATTACAGGGACAGCTAAAGCACAGACAAGCAATAAACCTACTTATGGAAAATCATGTGCCAGGAAGCCATAAGGTACGGAGGTTTTTATAGCGTTCTTCCAGCTGCTTTATCCACAAGAAGGCCAACGAACAATCAGTCTCAAGAACCAGTGGCACTGACTGAAGCATTTCTCATGCTGTTCTTCCCACTGGCGACTTGGGACGTAATCTGTCTGTCACATGTGTCACAGTGTTTTATAGACGCATGTTTAAGACTGTAAAGGATGGAGGTCCGGGCACAAGCTTAGACAGCCATGCCCTGCAGTTAAATGAGGGCCACAGACTGCTTTTAACCTCGAGGGCTTTCTGAGGCTGTCACTGGAAAGGCAAAATAATAAAGTGCCAGATTTGTCCCAAAACTCAGATCAATCTGTCCAGGTTTAGTACAGAGAAAACCATTTCAGAACACTGAAATGTTGCTCTGCTAAATAAACTCCCCAACAGGGTTCAGTAATAAACACAGATATGGGTTTACATGCAGACAAAAAAATGACACATAGTGAACTGAACCAAAGAAGAATAGGATCATCCCAGATTTCTGAAGCAGCAGACGGTTCATTATAGCTGAATCATGGAGAACATTCTGGTGATTCATCTGACCTCGCCAGATCTCGTGTAAATGTGAGGCTGTGGACCTCAATCTGGCCTCCATCCTTGATTATGTTAGTCTCCTCTGCCCTTTTCCACCTACACTACAATCAATTAAAAGTAAACAAAGAAGCAGAACTTACTCATGCTTCTTTACCTTATCTTCTTGCCAAAGGCTCCAAGCTTTCCTGCTATTTAATTAAACTCTTGTAAACAGATTCTACCGACAACATGTATGCATATATTGTAGTTTCTATTAACACTACTATGTTTATAATCACTCCACTTCCAGCACAGCTGCAAGATATACATCTTTATCTCATTAGTGACTCATTAGTTTGGTAAACAGCGTGCTAATGTGCTATGCTATTGTGATGCTGGTGAGAACGCACGGCCAAGACCCCCCTCTCGTATGTCAGACCTCAGACAGTCCTGCTGTTGAGGTCTGTCGTTATTCTTTGAGGCAAAGTAGTCTCTGCGGTTTAAAAGGGAGTTCATGGAACATCCAGAGTGTTTAACAGTAATAATACAAGAACTAAATGATGTCTTTAATGTTCTGATTGGCAATGGTTAATAGAGAATCATACAAGTAATGGGTCCATCACTCCTGCCGCCTTCAATGATGAGGGAAAAAAAACACTCAAAGCAAAAGAGAAAACCCATTAAAGGCTATATATAAACTGTACTTAATTTGTAGCTAATTTCTTTGTAGCATTTATTCATTGAAAATAAAAGTTACAGTTATGGCAATCTATTACATTGACTAATATTGGGTAGCTTTTATTTTCCCTCTTTCATGTCTTTTTGAAAATTATATGAAAACTGGTCTCACTAATTTATACATAAAAAAAATGTTTTCATAAAACAGATTCAAAATATTGGGTTTAATATGTACAGATTTACTTTAGAGGACCCAGGCTTTAGACTCTTCAAGGGACATACACATTTTCCCTTCACCTGCAACAAATGGAACAATTCAGCCCTTTAGAAATATTATTTGTTTGAAAAGTGTACAAACAATTGTGTCTTAAAAACTAGAGGAACGCAACTCATCACTCTAATTAACCTTACTCTGTTCTAATGCTACCAGGGATGTCCTGATCCGATATTGATATCAGTCCAATATCCAATCAGTCTAATAATGGCATGCTGATAACGTTTTGTAAAGTTTGGCTATTATTATTATTATTACATAGGTCAGTTGTTCTCTTACCTATGAGTATTGAGTATCACTTGTTCAAAGCTTTTATAACATTCCACAGAACTAAATAACTATTAAATTTATGTATTATGTGTTGATGTTGTATCGGGTCATATGGCCATCGGTCAATACTCAAATATGCAGTATTGGTAAGTTATTGGAGATAAAAAAGATGTATCGGGACATACCTAAATGCCACAGCTAGCAAGCTACCTGGGATACCTCTCTCAGCAGCAGACTGCAGGATGGCTAGCTTTAGCAGAGAACCTGCCTAATAAACTCGCTAATATCCATAATGCATGTGTTTTTAAAGCATAATATGCTCTGTAATAAGAACCCTGGTCTGCCATGCCCTTATAATGGAAAACACTGTTGTAGGCGTACGCTCCTGCAAAGAAGGGCAGCTTCACACCGGGACCAATCGAGATTGTTGATTGGTCAGTTGCTGACTAGCCTCTAAGACTGAAATAGAGGTGGCATCATGTCAATTCCTTAAGTAATTAGGTTCTAATGGCCTCTATTGGTCATTTTTAATTTGTACTCTGAAAGCAGAAATGTTAAAAGGCAACAGAAATGCCTCAATCCAGACATTGTAGTCTAGAGTTTGGTCTCCAATATGAAATCTATTCAATATTTGACCTATAAACTAAGGATCTTGTAGTTTACATCACATTAAAACAGTGACACACATTTTGCTGCAAAATTTCCCTTTATTAACTTGGTTGCTTTGTCTCTAGAATGTTATTAGCTCATATTACTAATTGTAGTCAGTACTTAAACAAGAAAAACCATGTCAGGTTAGAGATTAGATACCTCAATTATAGCAAAATGTCATGAAAAACTACATTGCTGAGGTTAGCTTGCAATCCAGTGAGTTTTACTTCTTAGGTTTTGCTAATATTGTAGTCATGACTAGGACCGCAACTAACGATTTTTTTGCTAATCATTTAATCTGTTTATTATCCATTTTTGATTTTATTTTTTGTTTATCACTATGTTGGCAGCACAGCTGTTAATTTAACACATCTGGCAACTCTGATCGTGTATTTATATTCAATAACAAATATGATTTTTTTTTTTTTTAAAGTTATCTTTGGTAACAGTCATCAGCAGGGAATCTTGAGCGGAAATTTAGCTCAGAGGTTGAAATGATAGGAGACAGGAGCACAACTAATGAAAATGGATTCATTAGTTGTGCTTGGGACTACAGCTTGACCACAATTCTGGTATCTGTGGGACCTCTAGATTTAAATGAGCAGTGGAAAAAAAAAGACATTTCAGCAGGATAGTTTTTGTTAATGTTTGTCTTTCCTTTTCCTTTTTCAACACAACCGCTTTCCTCCTGTCCTCTTCTCTGCACTCAGGTGGTGTCAGTCAGTGTCATAATGACTGCAGGCAGGTGGCAGCTGCAGCTGGGGGGATCATTACACTACCAATGATTTGAAATTTTTATTAACTGTGTTTAGAGGGTCAGGTTTGGAGAAAGCCAATCAGCAATGGTCTCAATGGTCTCATTGTCCGAGACAGGACCGCGTTAAAAGCGTGTCAATACCAAGATGAGACCAAGAACCTAAAAATATGGTCTCAAGACTCAACACTTGCAAATTCAACCTTTTTAAAAGAGCTGAAATTTACCTGTAAATTGGGGGCCTCCTTGATATAAAAGAAGAAAGAAAGATAATTTTTCCCAACACCCACGTAAAATACCTCCTCCAGAAAGTCCTAATGGTAAGTTTGAGGTGAAAATTATAACATCAAAGCACATCTAAATCAGATAATAATGTGTGGTGGCACTCTAAAATGAGCCAGTAAATAATCCCAAACATCTCAATGTTAAGTGCTTCAGTGCTCATCTCTTCAAGGTCAGCATTAGTATTATGGGTAAAGGGAAACCGTGTATTTCATGGCTACAGATTTACTTGTCAACTCAATGTCATTCTCTGAAGGTTCAATATGTCTGCTTAGTGCAACACAGCTACAATACCGGTTTTATTGCTTCCATTTTTGAGGTAAAACCCACATCAATAGTGACTGAATTGAATAAAAATAACTCCGGGAGCCTTGTTCCAGTGGTTACCTGTGTCTGCACCACTGGAGCATTAGCAGGGGCAGGTCCAGATGAGCTAGATTGATCCTCTTCAACGGTGCATGTCAACTGGTGCTGAAGGACTTCTTCTAGAGTATTAAACTCCTGGTAGCAGGGGAAGCACATGTATACAGATGTGGTCTCCATGACTGCTGGGGAATAGAGATCAACATTTTATAAGAAACATAGAAATATGAAACTGCCTTAGATAAAAACATAAGGTGTAACAGTTCACAAAACTAATCCATGCTTTTAAATAAGTGAGTAAGAGCTCTACGTGAAGCTTATACAAATTCTTCTAGTGTAATTCATCTTAGGTTTGGTTGTGAACATTGCCCTCTCCTGATAAAAAGGAGTGTTTGCAGCACTAAGGCAGCCTGGGAGCCAAGATTTCCTAAAGTTGCCAAGATGACTCATCGCGTGGTGAGCCTGAGCCGATCCCTATTTTCACCACGCAGGTTGCTGCTCGAGTGGAGACCGCACAGAGTCTCTCTCTCTCTCTGTCTGTTTCATTTCATGGTCTGAACCGAAATTTGGCTTAAACAGCAATTAGAAACGTATTGTAATTGGTCTCACCAGAGGTGCATTCAGGCTCACGCTGCTGCTGAGAGGAGCAACAGCCCAAACACAATCTCTGCAGTGTTTCCTATTTAATCAAACCTCATGGTGCATAAAATACTTCTCTATGGGCAAAAAAAAAAAAAAAAAAATCATTGTATTGCACCAGCTTCAAATCTAAAACGCCCTCTAGTTTGTCACTTCCATAAAAAGAAAAAATATTGGTCTTTATTTTGTTTAATGATCTGATAAAAGACATTTACTCAGAAATGGGTTATTAATTAATGAATGCTGTTTTTTAATTTGGCGATTTCTAAACATTTGCTGTAGATTTAGAGATATGACATGTATAGTGCGTTATACAATGCAATAACTGGTGGCAACCTTATTAACAGCATTCAGCTATTTTCAGAAGCTTCAAGAAGCACCAACTAACTTTTGACCCAAGAATTTGCTAAATTTGAGAAGTATTAAATCATTTCTCAGGTCAATATAAAGCAGGTGGTACATATTGATGCTGCGTGCGGGCAGCCCTTCTCAAAAACTTGCCTATATAACATGATAGGGTTGGATCCGTTACTGAATGAGTCATGTGACCTCGGGCGTCGCTCAATGTCAGTTTGAGCTACCCTAACATGATTGGACATTTTTTTGGCTCTCTGATGTAGGATTTAATCTAGAGCACCATTTCACAAAAACCTCAGCCTTATTTATTCTATATTTTTACTATAAAGTGATGTAATTATGTTAATTTTTAAATGATTTTTTGTTTACATTAATTTACTTACAATTATTGGTGTATAAAATATGCAAAAAATATATTTGACAAATATAAGGGGAAGGGTTAATGAAGACCAAAGCACAGGAGGGAAACCCTTTGTTATCAGGACTCCATAGTAGAAAGGAGATAGAAGGAACAAACAAGCATGCAAATATGAATTAGTAAGCTCAGTAAAATTAATAATGTGGTTAATTTTCATCATGGGATTCATTTATTTCTTGTTTATAGTTAGAGGCCTACTTAGAAGCCTACAGCTTTAAGTCCATATAACCTATTGTCTTTCTGTAGTAAATGCAGAAGGATTTTGATGGTTAAAACTAGCCAATCATTTAGCATTAGAGCTGTACTGATTTTCCCCCCTATCACTTAGGGGTGTAAATCACACCCATCATGGCAATTCGAGTCAGTATCAATTTCCTGACCCAACAATTCGATTATTTTCCATACTCAAAAGTACACCGCCATACGATTCGATTAATTGGTACATTTTATTTTTTTACCTTACAGGCTAGACAATGTTTAAAATTTGAAATAAATCAATGAAAGCTGTAATATCGTTATGCATTTTATTTGAGAACCAACAGCAAATACCAGAAGTAGCAAAGTGGTTCTCCACCTAGGCCTATGAAAACCTCATTCACTGAAAAATAATAGTGCCTTTGAATTATACATTCTGAAAGGCCTTGCATCAAAAAATACTACAAGCGCAAAGAGGGTAGTGGCTAAAGGAAGCGAGGTAAAACGGCAAAAAAGGTTTAGCACCGCCGCAGCACAGGCATCAGAATTACGTCCAGGAGCAAATGGATAAAAACAGACAGGAGAAAAAAAAAAAAAAAACATGAATCAATTATCTTGCGGACGTATCGCTGCATCGGATCGTCTGCTGTTGGATCGGTGCATCGATACAAAATGATAATTATTTGCACCCCTATCACTGCAACCACTGGGCTTCCATAGTTCCCAATGATGACAGCCTATAACTTTTTGTTCCTAGATGCGCAGTCCCCACTACTAAACAAGCTCTTCATGTCACATTTTGTGTTATGTTTTCATTGTTTACAGCAGCAGCACCCACCAACTTCATTTAGCAGCATGTTTCAACAGCTTGTATTTAGTTGTGCTCTGAATTCAGGTCAACTTCCTAATTGGATAATCAAAATAAAAGGAAGTTTTATTTATTTAATTTTTTTTGTGAAAGCAGAAAGGGGGGGGGGGGGGGGGGGGGGGTTTAATTGGATCTGTTATGGAAAAGACAATTTATTTTTATGCAATATGACCCTGTCCTATGTAGCACAAATTGACAAGTATTTTTAATGACCCCGAGGAAGAATATGGTGACATTAGAGGAAGCACTTCCTCTTACCAGGATGGAACTTCAAAAAGAACCAACCTCAGTATGAACATATCCATCTTGAACCATTTTAAGTTGGCGTTTGCACAAGGTGTCACGTTTTAATTAAAGGATTAAATATATACGTTTAAATATGTAGAGTACTCTTAAAAGATTACAAAAAATATAACGTATTAAAAGATTACCAAGATAATTAAAATACACTACGAAAATCTAATGTTTCAAAAAAATCGACATAAAGCCTAACTAAATGCCTCAATTGAAGGAAAAGATTTCAGCTGCTAAAGGAATGTAGTTCAACTAAGTGTTCATAATCTCTGGTTAGACCACCTGAGGTGAAGATCAGTAACAAGACAGTTACACTGAATATCTTGTACAAATCATTACACACATGAGAGAAAAATCTCCTAAAGGTTTTAAAGCATTTGCATTAGTTAATTTAGAAAGGCTCTGCTGACTTGGTGCCCTTAGATCTGACTTTTTTAAATACTACTACAGGGACTGTCTGGGGACAGATCCTGTCATTTCCAACTTTAAGGAATTTTATTGTCCATTTAGAGAAATCATTCTGCATGATCTATTCATTTTAGTCCCATCCTCTTTCCATGTAAAGGTTTCATGTAGGACAAGAGTCTGCTACCTGGTGGTATTAAAAGTATCTAAAGGTTTTTCATAACTTTTACCAAAAATTATAAAGAACCAAATAACATTTTAAAAAGAGTACATATTCTCTATAATTTTTTCGCAAATAAATTGCATAAATAGATTTCTTATAGCTGTGTCTAAGTGTCCCACGCATTATTTGTCTGGGATGTCAGAGAACTGACATGAGTAGCTCTACCCTGGGCTTCTGATGTCTGCTTACACACGGTGGTTCACTTAAAAACAGACATGAAATTAAATGATTTTCTTAGAGTGAAAAATTTAAATAACATGATTTTACATAAAAAACAAGTCTGTCCACTCTAGTATTTGACATTAGTTTTGTGTCAGTTGCACACTTATATTTACATATATTTACATATTTAAAGCTACTGAAAAAATTTTTTTTTAAAGAGAATAATTATTTCAATGTGGAAAATCATCAAACTTGGATAAAAAAAATTGTGTTACTCTTTTTGGTCTAAAATGTGATTTTGCATTTATTGCGCACTTTCATCTGGTTTGGTCTGCTGCGGTTTCCGTAGCGTCGTGAACTCGCAGGCGCGCGCTTTCAGGAAATCCTATACACTACTGTTTATGCTCTAAAAACATTCTAAATGACTTCGTTTCGAGTAAATTCTGGACGCTACCCACTCAGGACACTTGGAATACATTGGACGAGCAGTATGGAGGAATATTGACACGTTTTTTGTGGACTTTTATGGACCTTTCTGTCTCGGGCACCATAGACCTCCATTATTTGAATGTCAGCAGACAGCAAGAAGCCTCCCAGATCTCCAGATGCATTTGAGATATCAAAAAAGTACTCCAGAGTGTTGTTCAGCATGGGGGTGAGTAGAAAATGAAGGCTAATCATGTTTTGGGTGTACTATTCCTTTAAGGAGCCCCAACCAAGCTCCCAGGGCATATTTAGTGCTATACAACTCAATAGGCTGACTTTAGTGTATGGATATTTATTTATTTTAAGGTCTAATGTGTTATTGATGTCCAAGAATTTGGGGTTTTCATTAACCGTAAACCTTTAAACTAAAACTGTATCCGGTTTTCATTTTTGTACTGAAGGAATCAAGTTAAACTCTGACAATCCATTTTACTAAGATGCACCTGTAGTTCAACTGTTCTGTTTTTTATTGCACAAACTTAAATTTGTATCACCTAATTTACTTTATCTTAAAGCTTTGTATAACATTTCCTATTTTGAAGATTACATTGCTGTTGAATGTATAGTTGATGCAGGAGTTTGAAGGGTTCTTGTTGAGAATGTGCTTTACAGATAATACCTTTAAGTTAACACTAAAGTTTACCCTTTCAAAATAAGAAGAGAACATAAAATGGAGTCATGCAGGTCATATTTGCAACCTTATTGCACCATTACGGCGTGTTTCTTGATGTACCCTTCGTGTTATCAGTTTTAAAGTAGCGGACCTTGTATATGTAAACGCAGGATGTCCTAATGTTAACCATCATGGTTTAAATACTGCTGAGCAAATGTCCGCGGTGGACTGACTAAATTGTAACAAATAATTAAAAATCGCTTGTATAAGCATAACTTAAATGTACATGACGGTGTAACGTTTAACTACTGTGATTGTGAATTGCTGGGAGTCCAATGAGAAGCAATAAACATGCCCGTTCAAAGCTAAACTGAGCTAGTAGCAGTCAAACACGGTGGCTTTATCTGTGAGCAGAGCAGCGCTGCTAACATGGCCATCTTTTTTTTGTAACATGGCTAACGTTTCCCCGGTGTGGCAGCCAGCTTCTCTGCCAGGTCTGATAGCTTCATCCTCCCTACGGGGATCGAAGAAACGATGGCTGGAGCAGGTAGCCCGTTTTACTTCTTGTACCAGCACTGCTTACTTTCTGATATCGAGGAGAAGAAGAAGAAAAGACTCGAGAAGGAGGGCGGGATGTGCTTCTTCGGTGGTATAATGGCGGCGTCAGACTAAAAGTTAGCATTAACTGTCTCCCCCCCGTTGAAATCCTCCGTATGCATTCGCCACAGGTAAATGTAGCAGCATGGTTATTAACGAAAGAAAACGACCTTGGCTCAAAATAAATACAAGTAATATAACAAAACTCACCGTCGACATACGTTACTCGTCGAAGAGGAAATAGCACAACTTCAGCTTTTTCTGCCTTTTGGAAGGCTCAATCTGATTGGCCGAAAGGGTCATTTTCTCCACCAATAGGGTTCAATTTCACAAGCCACAAGGAATTTGTAGTCCAAAAGCCCGCCAGCACCAACGGCAGAGCTACTGGTTGGTTTAAAGATACCCATTGCAATTTAATATTACCAAGCTGTTTGGTAAATTCAATACATACATCTATTATTTGTGTTTTATAGGATTAACGTTTGCTTTATTTATAGTATAAAAAGTCCACATAGCAACGCAAAATAGGACAAGGAAGGAAAATAATCCTTAGATTACAACATATAAGGAAATATCACCAAAAACATAACATATCAGATAAACGTAAAACCATTCAAAAAGACAAAAAAATAGATTATATATATATATATATATATATATATATATATATATATATATATATATATATATATATATATATATATATATATATATATATTTAAAAATATATTATCCCAGAAAAAAAAATAAATGTCCCAGTTTTTTTTTTAAGTCTACATAGGCAGTGATGTCTGTGGGAACGCCTCCTGTAGTGTTCTTTATATTTTCTATGTATTTACCCTTTATAGAGTGAATAAACCTGGTCTTAGCTAAGTAAGCAATATTGAAATAAACAAAAACAGGATAAACAGTATTAATCTGATTAAACTAGATTGTATCAGGATTTGTTTGAATTGTATCTTTACTATCTATGTAAAGTCTCTTTGGATGACTCTTTGAATTGGGGCAAGACTTCTTAAATGTGTGGGCTATTTTTTTTTATCGATTTGTTTTTTGTTTCTTCTTGCAGGCATTAATTTTGTTACCTGACAACAGACTTAGAAAGAATAATGAGTAATAAACCCCAGACTGGAAAGGTTTTAGAGATGAGCATAAAGCCATATTTCTTTTTATCCTACTTACAAATCTATAGTTTTGAAACATTAATCTTCTTTGTGCCTCACTTTCCCTGCACTCCTCTTCTGTTCTGCTCCACAGTCTTGTCACCTTCTGCACTGATTATTGCAACACTCTTCTTTTTGGTCTTCCCCAGAAATCTCTTCATAAACTTCAGTTGACCCAGAATTCAGTGGCTCATTTAATTACCAAAAGCTCCTCTTTCCATCACATCAGTCCTAAAGGAGCTTCACTGGCTTCCTGTCAACTTCAGAATCCATTTCAAGATCCTCGTTTTTGCTTTCAAGGTCATCCATAATCATGCTTCCCCATACCTCTCAGATCGAATTCAGATTGTTACCCCCTTGTGTAGATCTTAGATCTTCCTCTTTCCCCTGTTGAGCCAGATATCCGCCATATCACCATGAGGAGCAGAGCTTTCTCCTGCTCTGGTCCCAGTTCTTAAGGGCTGATTATACTCCCTGCAGCATGGTGTCGCAGTGAGTTTATCGCAGATACTATTGGTTTATGTCAAATATTGAAGCATGGTCTGTTATTCCACGCCACAACGCAAGAGAGACAATCACAAACTAGCTGTGGGTCTAGATTGTGATTGCCCCACTTGCGTTGTGGCGTGGAATTTGTTTGTGCAACAACGGAGGGACATGAGGGAGAAAAAGAGCAAACATCAAGGTGGAAAAAGGGTCCCAGCGTTCTTGCGCTGGTCCATCTTAACGAGTCATTTTCCACAAAGGCAGTCATACAAACAAAACAAGCCGGCACGGTACCAAACAGGAAATACGCATAGTGTAGAGCGGATGTATTTTTGACCAATCAGAGCCCTCCTGTCTGCAGTCACCTACAATTTTGGAGAGGTGCAGCAGAGTGTCTGCGGCAGGGGCGGAGGCACATTTGCGTTTACAGCAACACACACGCAGACGACCTGGTTTCTGAGTATAAATCAGCTGTAAGTCATAAATCCTTAAGTATGTTTGCCAATCAGCATTGAGCAGCCAGCTTCACCACCTACCCCTGCTCCATAGACCCCCTAAGACTATTAGCCTCACTGGAAGTGACGTATTTTAACCTCTTATCCAATCAGGGTCTACTTTCTCACTGCTTTCCTCAATAGACCGATGCTCAAACCTCAGCAGGGATTTCTCATAGAGGCTGACAGGCGAAGTCCTGCTGCTCCAGAGAGGAGAGGATATCACATCCAAGAGCAGAACAAACAGCTGGTTAATGCGTAACAGACTCATCAAAATCAGTCGCATTTTAGAACATATTTCAGGCAATTTAATGACTACATTTATGAAGTTTGACAATTTATATTTACCAATAGTTTTATTAAATTTATTGGGGAGTTTTAGCCTCCCTAATATTCAATGAGAAAACACCAGTGTTTATAAATCAAGGCTAAAACCTCATCTGTTCATGACTGCATACCTCCACTGTTTTATATATATAGTGTATATTGGATGATATTGTGTATTTTGATTGTTTGTTTTACAGTGTCTTTGTGTGTCCTGAAAGGTGCTTTAAATAGCATTATTGTTAATTCTCAAATAATATATAAGACAAAAAAATAAACACAAGTTTTTCTCAGATGTCTCATGGCTCACCTGTAAAGTTCTTTAACTTTTTCGCCCAGTGGTCCTGGCAACTAGCCAATATTTCCACCACTCCATTGAAGTGAATGCACATTCCATGTGCAAATTGTATTGGATGTTATAATAAATTCCCTGACGGTGGATCATTGACTTTCTTAATGACACATATTTTGAAGGTTCCAAGGTCTCGGTGCAGCTGCTGGAGCTGCCATGGCTGAGTTTGTAATGTTTTTAATAAACCGACACCAATAACTGCCTTGAATACCCTCAGAGGGTTGATAAACCTGACTATATGCCCAGGCACTTATTAAATTACCCTTGCTCAGGGTGAGGACAGCCAGCTGTTTGGTGTATCTCATTTCTGCTGCATCAGGCATCCCAGGTCAGTTTGTGTATAGACTGGTCCACTCCACTAATTTCCAAGAATGCACTGTCTGTGGCCACCGGCTGATTGAAAAGATGAGCAGCTCCCTCAGACTCCTTAACCCGACTCCAAATGGTATTAAATAGCCAGTCGGGCATTCTGCCAGGGAAGCCACTTAGGCTCCAGAAAAACTGCCCAATCTGAGCGACACACTGCGGAACAGCATCATTCAACCTTGTCATATCATATCAGCATGATGACAGCTTAGCAGGCACGCTTTTCATTGGAGGCTATGGTTCATAGACTGCAGGTCTCAGGAGGAAGAAGATAGCTGTCAGACAGCATTGATTGCTTTGCAACTCCTCCTCTATGGTCTTCTGTTATTTTGGAAATGTCTGCATATCTGCTCTAGTACAAGCTATTCACAGCTCAGGGACTGAAATGCAAATGTTGGTTCAGTTTGTTTACTTTTAGAGATATTGCTCAACCCACAGGACAAGAAGCAAAGTGCAGCAGTTATTGAAACTGTAATTCCTAAGCTCTTCTTAAACACGCAGTCCATAATTAGGTTTAATAAAGCTTTTTTTTTTTACCTTGGAATCAGCAAATGACAATATGTCCCCTTTAGATAAAATATAGAAAATCGTGATGTAGCCCTATATAAAGATTACAAGATAAACAGTTTTCTCTAAATATTAATTTCCTTTTTGAGTCGTTGTAATTTGTCTAAAGATGCAAGATATTTCTGGTTTTCTTTACACCTTTACAATTATAAAAAAAGGAAATTTGATAAACCGAATTTGAAAATTTTTCTCCAAGCCTTGGAAACATAATCATCTGATAATATTAAAGGAAAGAGCTAATGTTTATTTATATAATATTTATATAAACATTTTACTATATGAAAACACCAAAAACAACTGTTATTAAAAATATACAAAATAAAGGAAACAAAACAGAACCAAACAACGAATAAAATTGCAGACCAGAATACCCAACTATGTTAAACAATAGAAAATATAAGCAAAGAAGAGTGTTAGGATACAAAGGGATAAACAAAAAAAAATTTGAATAGAATTTGAAAATAGAAAATGTGCTTCAGGTGAAAAAGCAGTACATAAACACCTACTGCAAACGTTCTATCATGTCGTAAAAACAATTCATGAAAATAAACTTACAAGCCTGTTTTTTGTCATAATAACAGATCGTAAATAATTCACATATTGTTACTGATTTATTGCTTTAGTTGAATACCAATTTATAGGTTATTTAGGATAAAATAAAGGTGCATTTTAATGTTCTTTAGGGATATATATTGAAAAAATTCTCACATATTATTTCTAGGACTTTTTTTCTAAAATGCATTACATTCTTTTACCTTTTGATAAGAACATTTTGGTTAGCAAAGGATGTTAATTTTGAGGTTAATGGTTGAAAAGGAGGTTAGGCTTTGGATTAATTAAAAATTAAATACTTTTCTGAAGAGCATTTCTGATCATTCCTGAGCCGTTCAGATGTGATCCAGCTGCAGAAGGGCAATACTTCACCTGTCAAGGTCAGACTGATTTTCAGCATCATTTGCAGTAGCTTGGTTCCCATGACAACTACTGGGATTAAATAACCACCCTGCTGCCTATGACATGAGTCTATTCAATAATACAACAAACTATATGCAACTATTTTAGTCAACATGGATTGAAAGGTTCGACCAAAACAAAAATCCAAAACACAAGACGCATTCTTATTCTCTTTTTAATTAGGGTAAAACCTTTCAGTAAAAGTTGAATAAAAAAAAAAAAACCTATACAAATTATATTAAATTGTAAACATATTTCCACTTTTCATGCTATATATATATATATATATATATATATATATATATATATATATATATATATATATATATATATATTCAGTCTGATACCCCTAAACACAACTTAGTGTGACTATTGTTCTTCAAATATCTCCTTAACACCATAAGGATGTCCACATGTTTAATCATGCTAGAAACACAAAAGTTTATTACAAATCATGAGTTTAAAAAGTATGAAGACTTAAGAACACAGCAAACCAGTTAGGGCTAACATTGTGCTAAAGTTTTAGGTTACAGAACAATTTTCCATAGTTTGAACCCAAAACATGTCAATCCACTTCATGACTGACTGGTATAGAGTGTTCCTCATACGTTCAGCCAAGAGGCCTTTGGTACGTCTGGAGGAGCTACTGGGGTCAGCAGCTGTGGTGGATGAACATGTAAACATATCATTTTGGACGTACACTATAACTGGCACTGAAACTTTGCCCTTCACACAAAATGATCCCAATCATTGACATAATGACTGTGTCCAAATACCCATCCTAATTGATATATAGGGCATTATGTAGTGGTTATGCCATCAATACTTTTGTCAGAGAGGGATTCATTGTATGATAATTGCCCAAAGGGGAACACAAGTCAAAAAAGGTTGGGAAACACTGGTCTAGTGGATAAAAATGTAGTGGAATCAAAATTTCCCACAATGCCCCTTGAAAAGTAGTGATCATCCATGGTCACTAGACCAGATCACTAGAGCTCTCCTCCTAAAGCATAATGGGATTTGCTGTCATAGTGGCAAATAACAAAGATGGCGCAGGCACTGTGCAGGGAGGCGGAGTCACTTGACCAACAGGCAGCGAAAAGTGTCTGAACGGTAAGTTAACTGAAATCACTATGAAGTCCAATAAATAGTCCCCGCTCTATATAGTGAATGAGGGATTTAGGGTGGACTTTATGTTTATCGTAGCTGTTTTTTCAGTGATGTTGATGGATGGAAGAGGTAACCACTGATCTCCATTTATTCTCCTTATTGCTGATAGGCCATTGGTATTACACAGTGTTGTAAAGTTACCAGCCGCCATATTGGTACTCCCTAGTTAGACCGGTCGGAATTTAAACAATACGTGCAGCATCACACAACAGTGATTTTCTCATTTTCAGGGGGGCTTAAGACTTTTAAGATAAAGATAAATTTAAGACTTTGACACACTCGCCGTTTATTCCATCTGTAGACTACTTTAATTTATGGTAGAAAATAGGCACATAACCTTGCAAATTCAGTATGAAGTCCATGAATTCTATAAATCATGTAATATAACATATTATACAAATCCAACTAAACAAAATTGGTGTGTTAATTGAGAAAAATGATGCAGTAGTCAGATATTAACGGTATAGTGGAGTATTTTTGCGAATGTTTGAAAAGACCCGCCCTCTCCACTTAAAAAAAAAATAAAAATACACATGCATAATCACAGCATACACAAGCCTACTTCTTCTCGTGCACACTGTTGCATCGCTCATACAAGCTTACTTTCCAAAATAATATTTGCAATTTTGCCACTATGTCAGACTCACCGCCGTTAAGTGAAAAAGGGGACGAGCATGTAGGACGGCCTTATGTAAACATATCACCAGAATGATTGACAATTAGGAGGACCACTTACTTTGATGATCCACCTGGAAAAAGAACATCCTCCATTATACCTTTAAGAATATTACAAACGCACACACACACTATCCAATTTATTAAAAATGCTAGAAAAAAAAAAATGCACAGTTGTGCATGTTTTGGTTCAACACATGTAATCTACATGTATTGATTACATTGTTATGGTGATTACATTACAGGAATTCCAATGGCATGAGAGAAAATGGGGAGTACCAAGGTGGTGGCAGTTGACTTTCGGTCTATCAGCAATCCAGTGAATAAATAGAGCTCAGTGGAGGTAAGACTTTTGAAATCACTTCTAAGAATCAGGATGAGCATTTAGCATTTTTCCTAATTTTTGCACTTCATTGAAGATTTTCATATAAATTTTTTTTATTTTTTTTACTTTTCTATTTCACCAATTTTGATATTTTTAGTTATTGAGTTGAATGGTGATTTTTTAAATATCCTACACTACTTTAGGTCGGAAAAGGTCTACCTGGAGCATCTTGGTGAGATTAACCAAGAGGCAAGGCTTTCTTATAAGGCATGAGTCAGTAACCTTACAGTAAAAGGACTCCTTGTACTATCAGTTTTTATGTATAAGTTACATAGAAAAACTACCGGTACTACAATCTGTTCTATTTATAAACATGAGACACATACAATAACACTGCATGTGTTGAGCTTAAGTTTTAACAGCGTGTTTTAAAGGCATGAAGCGCCCCATGTGGCTCCAGAGCAGGTGACCCTGATGTTGGGAGTTAAAAGGCTCTCACACTTTATAACCTCCTTATAACATCTTTGATTATTCAGTGGAAATTTGAACCATTCTTTTCCACAAATAAATGCTGAATGTATTGAAGATCAAAATACAAACCTTTAAAAACATGTGTCCCAACTTGTTTTATTACTCAGCTTTTACATTAGATCTTGTAAAACATCTGTTCATGATTAAAACCCCTATCTTTAAGGCTGTATGTTGCTGTTGCCCTGTCACCAAAGAAATTTAACTGCATCAGAAAACAATATTCATACCAATGATGTGATTCTAAGTTTTCACCAGTGTAGGTCCCATTTCTGATGGAAGCAAAATCCTCTTTTATAATTATGATGTGTCACTGCTGGTGTGACTAGCTCTGTCAGTCATGAAAATGACTCGGAGACAGTTTCATCACTTTATTAATGAGTTTAATTATTTATACCAACAAACAAAAACTGTCTCTCTCCGTCCATCCCTCACTTTTCATCATCTCCTTTATCAAACTGCACTGTCTCCAATCATGACGTTTTACCCTCTAAAAGAGGGCAACAATAAGGGTCACCGCAATTAAAGTTTCACAAATCAGAAGAAGGGGGGAGAAAAAAAAAGTAAATATGATTAGCTAGCTCTTCATGTTGGAGAATGTTAACGGTCAGACAGCATGCACGCGCACACACACACACAGACATACATTCCCTGCTAAAAACCTTCCATTTGTGAAGAGCACAAACTAGTCTAACAGGTCAAACTTTGTATATTCATACAGCACAGAAAGCAAAAACAGCTCAGTCAGACAAAGGAGATGATATACATCTTCTAGGTCAATTAATTTTTCCCTTTTCCCCCCAAACACACGCTTACACACAATGTGATCTGTGCCCACATCCACTCCCTAAGACACAAATACGCACATACATACCAGCCCCAAGTATCCAGAGGGTTGTAACATTCCCTTCACATTGAAGTTTAATGAAAAAATAAAATAAAACAGAGCTCCATGAATTGGTTCACATGTGCACCTGTATAAATACAGGACCATGAAATCAGTACAGTATCTTGGATGTAAAATAATTTTGCATCTGACAGGACTAACTTGAATTTGTATAACGAAAAACAAACGATAAAGACCCCAACCCGCTCCTAAAAACAATACAATAAATAAAAACAGTCATGACAACATTAATGGAGGAGAAGGGAAAGTTGAGGTGAGGAATGGAAAGAGAGAGAATAAAAATGAAACATTTTGTTCTGTTTATCTCCCCTTTCTGAACAAGGGACTGAAATGAAACTGTATTTACAGACTGTGACTGAGAATAAACAGCCCGGCAGCTGCTGGGCCGGTCTACTACAGAAAAGAAAAGAAAATTACAAGAACAACAATATAATAACAATAATAACAAAAAATAACAAAATAAAAGGTACTTGATATATTTACAGTTCAGCTGTGAAAAAAAAGGAGGGAAAAAAGGGAAGGAAGGAGGAGGAATGGAAAAGGGGAGGCTCCGAAAGCTGTCGGGCTTTTCAGGGGTTTGAGCATATTATCTGGTCAGATTATTACAGGTATCAGTCGGGTCAGCTTGAACCAAACATGCACAACTGTGGGTTTATTAAATTTTTTTTATCAAGAAAGAAACCCATCTTGTACTGACAGCCCTCTGTTAGCTCTGTAATGCATTTGAAGAGCAACATGATATGAGCGGGGCGCAGTGAAACGACGCCCCTGCACCTGATGTCAGTCTTTGAATATAATTGTGCCGATATGAAATGCAACACTGCAAAGCAACATAATTAAAGAGAAGCTCAGCGGGACGTCAATGCTTGTATTTCAGATGCAACTGGAGCCCCACACCAAAAGCTCTCCTCTGTGTGACGTTATGACTGGCTCCTTCACTTCCCTCCGACTCCTTCACAGATGTGCAACACTTACTGAGAATCAACACCAATCACTGGGCTTTCCAGCTTTACGTACATAGCTTCTATTGACAAAACTGCAGCTCAAACATGCTTCCCTCTAATCACAGATAAAGGCAGTTTAAAGAGCTAATGCATAAAAAAACAACAGTAAACAGCTGTGGTGCCCTGTTTTTTTATTATACCTTTAAAATCAGCTCTTAATTAAAAGGTTTCAGAAAGAAATCAGGATGATAAAAATTCTTTTAGTTCAGTGTAGAAATCAACAGAAGAGCGTCCTTCTAAACACTGGGCTCTGGTTTGGATGATTGTCAAAAATCAATCAAGCTGTAATCTCAACGCCAAAGCCAATCAAAGGTCAAAACGGTGGCATCACAGCCACTTCTAAAAAAAAAAAAAAAAAAAGGGCAAATTGAAATAAAAAATAAAATAAAAAAAGGAATAAAAGTCAGCTGTTGATTCAATACAGCAAACCCACAGTGTGTAGGAGTGTTCTCCTCATCCTACCAACTAACGTTTCGCTGCCCTCCTGGCAAAGGATCTGCAGCTTACCTTAAACCAACGAACAGCTATAAAAAAGCCTTTAAAACAACCCTCAGCTTCCTAAAGCAAGCAGCTGCAGTGGCAGCTTTCTATTGGAAAAGTTTCGTGAGAAGATATAAATGCAGAGCGTTTAAGTTGAGTGAGTTTGGTTATTTTTCTTTAGTTTAAAGGTTGGAGCCTGGAAGAAGCTTTAGAGGGAGAGGAGCAGAGGAAAGAAAAAGGAAAATGGGGAAGACGAAACAGAAAAGTTGTGTTAGAGGGATGAACGCTCAGGTGCTGTTGTTGATGGATCCAGGTGCTGAGCTGGGCTGGGCGGTACTGTCTGACACGCTGCCCTCTGCAGGACAAAAGCAGAAATATTTACCATTCCCAGGTCTTGACTCAAACAGTGTATAAAAACCATTAATTTTGAACAATTAAACCGTTCTGCTTTCTAGGGTGAAATGAAGATATAGTGACCTCATTCTGTGTAATTTACAGAGACATTTACATTTGTTTATCAATGTACGGCTAGCACAGTATCAGAAACTTCATTTTAGCCTGCTGTTATTCTTCTCAGACCTGAATTTGTGTGTTAGGTGTCATTGTTCTGTTGGAACATCTAGTCGTGTCCAAGTGAAAACAACCTTAGCCATTGCCCTGACGTCTTTAAACATACTTCTACAGGAGCGAACAGGTTATCTAACTTAAAAGGCATCAATTACGTAACTGGGCTTGTTTCTGAGTGGAAAAACAACTTTAATATCAGGCTATGTTTTTGGTGACGTCACCTCACTGTGCCCAGAGCCAAAGAGGTTTAAGAAATGTATAGATTATGACAGACTTCCTCTGTTGTTCCTAAGGGTTAGATAGATAACGCTGTTATTTCCGTCAGGACAAAAATCCCAAACATCAAAAATGTCTGACTTCAAAGTTCAGAATGGCCGTGGTCTCAATCCTATTGATATCCCATACAGTACTTAAAAGGAATGCCTGTGCCATTAAACCAACAAATTAACGAATTTTGGTCAAATATCTACAATTTTACCGAAAGCTAGTTGATTGTTTATTAGTTTCAACACTTCACCCTGGAAAAAAAGACATTGAGAAAAAAAAAGAACATCTGAGCTGAGAACAAAAACTACAGTTTTCTTTTTCCCTAAAGGAGAAAAGCAAATAGAGTTATACAAGAAAAAAAATCTAAGTAGAGCAGTTATTTGTACCATGTGAGGCGGGCGATGTCTGTGCACGAGCGTGAGGGGGAATGAGTGTGGAGTTCAACTGGGGCTGAATGGACAGCTCTGAAAAGCAGAAAAAGTTATTAATGATCACAAGTTAAAAAAGTCAACCTGATCACAACAACTAAGTGATAAAGGCAGGATAAGACACTGGTATGCAGAGATCAGAAATAAGCTGACCAACAGGACTGAAGTTGAATAGGGGCGGCAGTTCCCGTCCGCTGGGCAGGCGGGTGTTGGGCTGACGCAGCTCGTCAAAGAAGGCGTGTGCACACGCTTCCAGAGGAGACAGTCTGGAAACGGGCGTGTATTCCAGCAGTCGGGAGCAGAGGGCTATGGCCTCTGGCGGGGTGCGAGGCTTGAACACCTGACAGAAGCAAAGAAAAGTGGAAATCGGAATGTGTGTGGATTAAATTATAGGAGATTAGATCTGAAGGACTAATCATTTTGGGTGGAAACAACAAAACAATAAAGAGTATTTTAAACTAGAGATTTAAGAAGTTGTGTGCATTTCCAGTCAGTAATAAAAGCAAAAAGGAACTAACCTTTGTCCAGGGATGTGCTTTGATCTGTGGGAATTTAAACTCTGTGTAGTTAGGGTTCATCTCCCTGATCTGCTCCCTTGTCGGTGTCCCCAAAACCTAACAAGGATGGACAGATAATATGCAGAGATTTTATTAGATTTATCTTCAAAAGAAACAATAATGAAGATATTTATATGGTAAATTAGACATATTGCCTTGTATTTAATGGATGGGGTCTTGCAAAAATGTCTTTGCATAAAAAAATAAATAAAACAAACCCTTCTACATACATATTTCCTACGCATTTGCATTTGCAAATTGCTGAAATTTCCCTACTAAATGATTTAGTCAAAAATTATAAAGTAAAATATTAAAAAACTGTTTGAATTTGTGACAGAGGAGAAGAGAGGATAAAAGAAAAATTCTTCCACAAGAAATATGGAGGGATGATAAAAATTAGCTATCAATCCAAAAGCAATATTTAGAAGCTAGGATAAAAAATTAAGACCTAATAAAGACACTTTATAAACTTAATCATCTATGCCTAAAAATGCTGAAGTCATGTTCCAAAGTTTTACAGACTGAATAGGAACCTTTCAAACGATACGCTCCGAACAACTGGGTTAAACTGAGCAGAATGATGTCCCTACCAACTCAACAATTACACTTAAGTGAGCTTTAGACTAAACTGGATTTACCTAATAAATATCTAAAAATAATACCTAACAGCTACATATAGAATAATTTATCACTCAGCATCTCTAGCCTCACCAGTAGATGAGAACAAACATCCTCCTCCTTTCACATGTTACAGTAGTACCAAATGTCTGTGTTCTGATTGGTTGCAGGTTATTAACATCTTTTACAGATTCCCAATAAACTTTGCCTGCTCCTAAAACGTATATATTTCCTTTGTGTTAATTTCATCTGTGTTAAAAAAAACAGAAGTAACAATCACACAAAACCAACCATAAACTAAATGATAATCAAGTTTATTATTGTACGTGTAAATGCTGCTAAAAAATATTCACTTGGCACTTTTAGCACCAGCATAGCCTGTTAGCTCCAGATTACAGCAGTGTGACTGTACCTTAATGATCTCTACTAACTGGTCCACACCGCTGTCCCCGGGGAAGATGGGCTGGCCCAGAAGCAGCTCAGCTAACACGCAACCAGCCGACCAGATGTCAATGTTGGACGTGTAGTCAGTGGCACCAAATATGAGCTCTGGGGCACGGTAGTACCGGGAGCAAATATAGGACACATTCGGCTCCCCTCGAACGAGCTGCTTTGCACTGGACAGTAGAGGAGGGTAAAGAAGAAGAGTTAAAGAAGCATCTGATTTCAAGTAAATATCACCAAAAACAGCAGAAAGAAAGAGCTAAGGCCCTATCCACATGAAGACAAGATTAGGTGTAAACAGGGCAGTTGACAGCCTCGGCTGAGCCCAGGACAAAGTCTAAAAAGTCTTGATTGATCAATCTTTGAATGACGTCTTGCCTAAAGTGTTACATTTTAAAGTAATATTTTCTGGAAGCAACAGAAACATATTTAATAGTTAATTAAATACGTGAAAAATATTTAATTATTTATTTATTAAGGATAAAAAAAATATATATATATTTATTTAATGCAAGCATCTCAAGTAACATTTAAATGTTTATATTGACAAATGGAGATCTTTCCAATTTTGAATTTATAAAATATGCGGTACATTTGGCCTCTCATACCTGCTCCAGTCGAATTTGATTCCATTTATAGATTTCTACCTGTGTGACAAGTAGAAATTGGACCACAAAATGTTCAGACAAAATCTTTCTTAAGCTGTTATGGCTGTACAGAAGGATTTTCTATTTATTCACTTCCACCGCAGGACTGTTGCAACTGCGGACATGCCCTATAGTCACATCAATCAAATTCAAAAATTTCAACCTCTTAGCAATACCCATTGGCCCGGTCTTACTTTCATCTAGCAAAGATAGGGAACAAACCCTTGACAAAAAATACTGATTGTTTTGCTCCATCAGAGCGCTTTAAGGTATGACCACCTTTTCAGGCTTTGATAGGTGAGGGCGATCTAAAGTTCTGTTCGATCTAAAGCTGTTCCTGCGGTTTGAGGCGGCTTCTTCAGGTGAGAGCCGCTTTACCCTTTATGTTAAAGTGATGGAGCCGCTGCCTGACCGTGTGCAGAGGGAAAGATTCAGGTTCTATATTTTCGCAGCCAGCCTCATGTATAGCAGCTTGACAAACTTCAGACAAACTGCGTCGGCGACAAAACCACTTAGAAGGAATGGCTGATGGGACTTTGCAATAATACAGTGGATAATCAAAAGAAAGTAATAGGAAAAGATTTTATGAAATGTAAGAAATAAGCTCCAATTTCCTTCCAAACATATTTAGAAAAATAATATATTTGGCAAAAGATGCAGGGGACTGATTTTTTTTAAGAGTTTTTGGTGTGATTCTCTGCTCTGTTACAGCGCTATCGAGGAGCCGGGCATATGTACTATGTCGTCAATATCCTGTATACATGTGGATGCTAACTTTTCTTCAAAGACGCTTATAAAAATATACAAGTTTGTCTTCATGTGGACTAGACCTAAATAACAACAATCAACATATCCTGGGAATAAACTTACATGCAAAATGACATAAAAGTGGCTACAAAAACAGGAAAATAAATAGAAAACAGTAAAGATCAGATTCATTTCTAACCTGCCAAAGTCACAAAGTTTGAGGATGGCTGTCTCTGGGTCTACCAGGAGGTTCTGAGGCTTTATGTCTCTGTGACAAACGCCCTGGGAATGGATATAAGCCAGACTGCGAAACAGCTGGTACATGTACACCTATGGGACAAAAACAAATGGGAACACAGAGTTAAACTATCTGTAAGTGACTGATGTCACTACAGAACCAGTAACAACAACCTATAACAACAAGTCAAAAGAAGGTTTTCCTCATTATGTCACAGCTGTGGAACTTAAAATGGGATATGGAGCAGTTAAAAGAAAATGTAGCCTTTAATGCTGGACTCTTGAATAAAACAAAACCTTTTTTGGTGCTGATTAGTAAAACCTACAGCTTTAAATGCGCACCCAATGATGTCATCAGAATATCTGAACATGTAAATTTAAAACAGGTTACAATACATCTGGAAGAGGAAAAATAATGATACTTTTTATGCTCAATGATTTATTACAAGTACTGTGGAATGAGAATAAAAGAAAATTTGTACTGACCAAATCTAGTTATCATCTTGTTGGCACAGAATTAGTTAACGACTTGTTGAATTATATTTTTATATGCAGACAGTGAGGAATACATAGTCCACCTTGTTGCCCCACTGGAAGAAATCCTTGCCCTGCTTTCCCAAAGCCCCCTGACCCCCCTATGGAGACCGAAGCTCCAGGAGATCCTCAATGCTCCGTGTTTACTAGTGCTCCCACTGACAGGCTATTACCACATCCGCTCAGACTTCTCCCCATTCCAAATACACAGGAGAAAAGGAACATGCACAAACTTCTGCAACACTACAGTCACCGTGAAGCATTTCAGTTAAGCACAAGATGTTTCAATAAATATATATACCCACAGGTTTGGTGTATTAAAGAGATACACTGCTTGTTTCAAACACACTGTATATATAGATGCCCTACAGCTGACGTCACAGATCACACTTCGCCGGAACCTAGCCGCCATATCAATTACCTGCTCTGGTCCCCTGCGTAAAAGACGCTGTCTGTATAGAAAAGGTGACAATGTATTTCTTTTAACCACTTAAAAGGGAATGAACGTCATCACAGATGTCTGTTAGCAATCAGAAGGACTGGCTGCGAGTAGCCGTCTGTGCAGGGTACACTTCGTATCAGGCAAGGTACCAAACAAATCGGGAGAGCTAGATCAGGCTGTTGCCAAGTAGATTTAATGTCTTTTTTTATTATTTATTATATAATTTTTTGTCCCAGGAAATTAAATGATTAGATTACACCCATTTGATATTAGGCTCGGAAGACGTTGCTACAACGTAGTTGTGTTTAGTTGTTTACATTAACTAAGCATAAAGATCAGCAGAACGCGGCTTACCTTTGCTTTAAATAAACATATATTCTGTTTTTTGGATGCCATATATTTGGGTCAATAACCCAGCCAGCTGGGTTACTGATAAGCATCTGTGATTTTAAAAGCTTTCATACTTTCTCCGATGTATGAGGACAGGTTGTGAATAAGATATATGTATCAGCGGTGAAAGAAAAAATCTGGAGGCCTGTCAGGAATTAAAAAGGTGTTGGAAGAAAAAGAAAAAAAAAGTCAACAGAGACTTCCTTTGGATTGCATCCAATAACACCATTTTTTTAAGATTGCTGGGATTTAAATGAGAATGATCCATTCTGGTCAGAGAAGAAGCACCATGTAAAAAGAAAAAATTACTTTACACTAGTGTTAGCGGAAATATCACAAACATCAAATGGTATAAATAATCACCAAAAAATATTTCTTTGGAAAACAACTATACAAAAAAATTAGGGCTGCAACAACGAATCGATAAAATCGATAAAAATCGACTTTTAAAAGCGTTGGCAACGAATTTCATCATCGATTAGTTGTGTCGAGCGATTAATGTGTCATCCGCCGCGCCGTCATCACTGCCTCTTTACTGAAAGAGGAAGAAAAAAAAATACGGCAGAGCGAGTCAGCGCCGCAGGTGCAGTGTTGCCAACTCAGCGACTTTTCAGACCCCTCCAGCGACTATTTTTAAAAAAAGCGACTAGCGACAAATCTGGCGACTTTTTACGGTGTCTTTTGGAGACTCTTACGTGAAATCATGTATCGTTCCTACTCTGCCGTGGAGCGCCTCCCCCATCCCAACCGCGTTTTCCCGCAGGAGTCCCTCTCAGCGCTGCAGTCAGAGCCTCAGCGTCCAGACTGCAAATGAAGCGCGCATGCACCGGGATTGACGGCGCAAATTGATCACAATAATTAAAATAGCCTGCGCTTTGTAAAGTGACAAAAGTGATAACATGCAACTTTTGTCAAAAGAAATTAACATGGCACGGAACCACCATGTTTGTTTCGTTTTAAAGGGGAAACGTAATGTTAGTTTCTCAGGTAGCTCATCTGATGCTTTCCTTACCGTGTTAGTAGGTTATAGACAGTGATAAGGTTGGCTACTTATTTCACTTTTAATTTCATTTGAATTAGCTTAAGCAGCGTTTACATTTACTTTATAAATAAATTAACTTGCAAATTATGAGGGCAAGGCTTTTAAAGTTTAAATCTTCTGGCAAAGATAAAGTAAAGAAGAGCCTGCAATTTATGGAAGTAAAGCAGAATAAAATCCAGCAAGATCAGTAATATGTCAATTAATTATCTGCCACATTCCCATGTAAATATCTGTCTTTGAAAGATGTGTTTTTTTACCACCCCTAGTTCTCTCATTTTTATTCCAAATACAATTTATAATTTGAATCACAGGGCTATTTTTATCTCTATGGTTCAGTATTTTCTCAAGTAGCAACTTTAACTGCTATACTTTCCTGTCTTAAAAGGCAGAACTCTTCTAGTCTAAAAAAACTCATTTGTTGAAATGGGGGGGCCTATTGTTTGAACCCCTTAGGGGATTTTAAAAACTAAAATGTATTTTTTTGCGCTTTATGAAACAAAGTAGCCTATATTTTGTGGATGTACAGCTACATTTCTCATGTAAGTTTGCGTAGTTTTAACACAAACATTTATTTTTCATATTGCACCAGTACAGTTAATGAGCAACCTGTACTTGTGTGCTTGTTTGTTCTTTCTAAAATGTTTATTTTGGAATAAAGAGGTTAATATAAAAAATATTTTTTGTCCGATTCATTGATTAATCGAAAAAATAATCGTACGATTCATCGATTTTTAAAATAATCGTTAGTTGCAGCCCTAAAAAAAAATAAATAAATAAATAAATGCCCTAGCTTTCTGGACCCATATTCACTAAAATAAAAACAAAACCAAAAACTATCAGTAAAATACTTAAAATGACTCTAACCTGGTTAGGTTTAAACTGACAACCAAAAAACAATTAAAAGATTTTTGCAGAGGGGCGAGTCACTAACCCAATATATATATATAAAAAAAAAAAAAACTGATTAAACTTTCTTACAAACATTTAAACATTAAAGCATGAAGCCTGAGGTGACAAATTTCTATACCAAAATAGCACAGCTGTAACTATTCTCCCAGAAGAAGTGTAACCATCCCCATCTAAATCTTCTGACACGTGTCCTTAGATCTGGGCCACTGATGTCAGCCTCAGATAAAAAAAAAAATTAAAATCCAACAACACCACAATAAAGTCTGCAATCCTTAAATGAATGACAACTGTAGGCAGGAAACATCTTAATATATCAAATGGTGACTGTGGTCATCATGGTCATTGTATAATTATCACCATTATTGCCCACAGGGTGCATTGACAGCAGCCTGACCAGATTATAAAATGAGGCAGACGAGATGAGGGATGATGGCTGTTAACAAGAGGGCAGCTGGGCTTAGAAGAGAAGCAAAACAAAAGGAGGTATGGAAAAAAACATGAGAGAGAAGGGGAAAGAAAGGCCCCAGCCACGGCACGGTGGAAAAATGTCTCAGAAGGAGGAAAAGGATAAGAGAAGAAAGAGAGAAGGAGACCAGCATGCATGTCGACGCCTCAGGGGAGCAGCTGGGTGAGGTGGGGAAATGGGCCATGAGACAGCTCTAATGTCCTCTCTGCTGCTTCATATGCAGTAAACACAAACACCAACATGAGGAACGCTTTAGCAGGGATCCAAGGATATAGGGAACAATTAACTCCCATGAGTCCATCTTTTCTTTCTGCTTTTTATCCCGCTGAGCTGTCTGTAAAAGTAAACATACTTATGGGATCACTATACCCTCAGGAGAGTAGTAATATTTTCCATTTCTACTAAACACAATTTCACAACTGAATCCATAATAAAAAAAAAATAAAAAAAAAATAATTAAACAAAACAAGTACTTCCAAGACTAATGTAGAATTCAGAGGGACATTAGAGAATATTTTCAATATCTTTAATTCATGCCAAGCTATAAAAAAGGCTGATTTATTAACATTTTTTAAGCATTCCGCTGTGCAGTTCTTTTAGCAACCTTTTCTCATTTTAACAATAATCTCACATTTAAAATAAAATGGAATGTTTTTGTTCAGAATAAACGTATGCAGTTGGAAAAAAAAAACATACACACTGCAAGCCTGTGTATAGACTATGATAGTTCTCTTAATGTCGATAATGAAGGGAGTCATTCATGAAAAAAACTCCCCAAGGGGAGTTGGAATGATATGTTTAGACAGTTCAACAGTTGCTGGCCTCTTCTTACCTTAACATAGATGATGGGGACGATGGCCTTGGCCTTGTTGAAGTGCCGAGCCACCCTGTACACCGTCTCCGGGACGAAATCCAGCACAAGATTCAAATACACCTCGTCTTTCTGGTACAGAGAAAGTAAAGGAAGATTTAATACCAGAGGAAAGGATTTCATATCACTTAAACATTAAACATCACAACTGTGTTGACATGTTCTGGATGAGTTCTAGACTTTTATATCTTCAACCCAAGCAGTGATGGTTTTTCACTTCATTATTTATAATTTTCAATTATATGTATAATGGATATACAGAACAGTATTAAGAATACTTTTAGCCAGTACAGTTTTGATTACCAATAAGGAATACAAAATTTAAGTTTTAAATAAAAACCCAATTGTGTTAGGAATCAAACATGCTACCAGCTATGGTGCCAGCTGCTGGCATGTTCTTCTGCTAAATGAAAATTAGCCCCTTTTTCTTTCATTTCCAACGTTGACTTTCCCCTCTAACAGTTAGGAAAAATCCATAGAAAAGCCACGCCTTCTTATACGCTGCATGGTTCAAAGCATGGGCGAAAGAAGCGGCTTATCTTCCAAAAAATACGGCGTATCACAGTCAATGACTTCAGCATTTGTCAGAATGATGTTCCTGGTGTTATGTAGTTTTGTGCATTTTGTTTTTAAAGCAAATATTTAAATAATGTTTTAATGGTGGAGTTTTATACACATGGCAAAATCACTGTAATAAGTCAGTACAGGTGTCTGTTGTGGGCATTCCTGTCTTTCTGGAACATTTTTATTTTGTTTATATCTATAATCAAATTGTATCGTATCTGATCACAGTTGGATTCAATGATAATTACATGGTGTTACTTTGTTATTTTTCCAGTGTAAAAATGGCAACATTTGTCCTACCATTGTACCATCAAGCAGCCTTTGCCCTCAAAATGACGGAATATAGAAAACATTCAAATGCCGACATGTTTACAGCTATTAGACAGACCGTTTTCAATTTGTTAATTCAATTAAATAACCCCAAATAACCAGAAATTTTAACCTGTCTGGTCGCTCCTCTACTATTTGGGTAATGGGGGGGGGGGGGATAAATAAATCAGCAAAATATGGTTTTAAGACATGGAAAATTGAAAGGGCGATAAAATGCTTTGTTGGGTTAAAACTGTAACAGACTTCAGACCATTGAACCAATCTAAGGTAATGCTACTAAATTTAGGCACATATGAGCCAAAAATCAAGCTTCAAGGTAAATTTCTTGGTTTCCATGTATACAGCTTTCCAAAATTCATCAAGTGAAACTTTAAAATGTAAATACCTGGCTGGTAAAAAAAAAACCTCAGAGTATTCATTCATTGTGTGACCAACTCACTCCTATTATGCACATGAATCACCTCTGATTCATGAAGCATTAATTGCCTGGGCGGGGCAGCGTGCTGCTGCTACTAAACATTTGCTGCAACATCAAACATGAAGCAAGCAGAGACACACCTTCTCTCCACTTGAGTAGAAGAAGTAGCGTAGCCTCACAATGTTGCAGTGGTCCAACTTTCTCATAATCTGCAGCTCCCTATTCTATAATGTAGAAATAAGAAAATAGATGTGAGACAAACAGAAAACACTTTATTGTCATCTAAATATCACTCCTCTGGGTTACCTTAAACCTTTTGTCTTGGAGAACTTTCTTGATTGCCACCATCTCCTGAGTGTCGATGAGGCGAGCCTGGTAGACCACTCCGAATGAGCCATTACCTATGACCTTTATGTCTGTGTAGGAAACTTCCTGCGGGCGGTCAGGGCCCTGGCCTGGGGTGGCTACCACCGTCGTCACCTTGCCGCTGTCTCCTGTGGGCAGCAGAACAGAAGCTTCTTGTCATATCTAAATCACAAACATTAACATTTACATCAACCGCACTGAGATGGAAATTTAAAGGATGTTGAAAATCATGATTTTATTTTTCTCCAACTCTCAGAGAAGACCGTTAGAGTTGAGAGGGATGTTGATGAAATAACAAAACAAAAGCAATACTGTTAGAAGCCAGACTTAAAAATTGATTTTCGAACAAACTCTCAATTCAATCCAGAGGAGCTTAAGGCCTTTTTAAGAAGATCTTCTAAATCGAACTGCAAGTATTAAGTTAAGTAGTTTGAAACCTACAAGTTTATTTCAGATTTTCAAATGTCTCTACTCTTTTAAAAATTTAAATAATATAAGATTCATGAGGGCTTTGCACCGAAGTGTCCTACATTGAATAAAGATTCTCAAGAGCAGAGTTTATGAACACTGTACCTCTGTCCCAGCCAGTAATAAAGCCCATTCCAATATATGTGAATTTTTTAAAAAGTTTCTAGATTCTAAAAAGGTTATTCTGATTCTAATAAGAGAGAAGGTTATGAAAACAAAATGCTTAGGGAGTAAAACGTAAAAATGAAGATGTGATTTGCCAAAATGAACATACATTTATGTATCAAATTGCATTTGATACATAATAACTCACTTTAGTTGAACTTAATTCCTGAAAGTCTCAGAAAAAAACATCTCAATGAATAACAAGAGTTCAAACAAAGCAAATCTCTTCTTTGGGATAATGGACAAAAGGCCCGTCAGACCAATGTTGACTTTGTGTAACAAAAACAGGCCAAAGTAAGATGTTAAAGATGTAACACTTCCTGACAGCTCCAGTTAGAGTCCAGTAGCCGCATGGTAGTTTATGCCAGTGCATGTAGTTGACCAAGAATGATGTGATAAATAGTAAAAAAAACAGAGAGAAAACCAGGAGGAAAGGAGCACCAGATAAGAGGCCCAATCCCAAAAGGCTTGTCGGAGCTTGTGGTAAAATTGCACGGACAGCAGCACACCCAGGGGTGCAACTTTAGCTGAGCTTGCTCTGTTCACTCGTCTTAAAACCCTCCCAGATCCCAGAGTTTTAAAAAGACAAATGATTAAAATAGCTAGTAACAAAGTTTTAAAACAAGGTTGTGATCAAGACAATCTCGAAATATAACTTCAGGAAAAAAATAATCAAAAGAAAATGATTAGGTTTTTCTTATTCAAACATTAACAGTGATCCAAAGCCTCCCAGTAGCCTATATTATAACCCCATGATTAGCCTAGATCTGATCCCTCAGGTCAGCAGCACTGAGATAAGTCCACCGCTCTATCACAGCGTCTTCTAGTTATATTTTAGCAATGCTACCACTTCCCCACATAAAAACATTAAGTCAAAAGAGAGCACATTAAAGGATACAGTAACAGCAGCATGATAGTGTCTTAAATAATAAATGCAAAGATTAGAGTCTCCCCAGCTGTCAGAGAGGACTTTGCTTTCTAGCCTGACAAGTGAAATGGAATGAAAATGGATGAGCAGGGTGACTTTCATTACACCTTAGCCTCATGAAAAATCACTCCAAAGCTTGTTTGTAGGCTTAAAAATTAAACACATCTTTAAGCCAGTAAAAAGATTGTCACTTCAGTGATAAATTACTACTAATATTTTATCATTAGGGTACCTATGATGCCTTACCTGACAGGGTTCAACGATGCATTTACAGCCAGAATATGTAGATGAATGATCTTAAAGTTTATGTTTTTTAATTATTCACCAAAACTTTTTTTTTTTTTTACTTTTCCACTGGGAAGAAAAATAAATAAAACCCAACAGCAGACCAAATTATAATGAGCTCAAGCTGACCTAATTAATCATCATTTTTTTCTTAACTGCTAACGCTATATATTGTGCTTCAGGCTATTGTGTTTCAGGCTATAGTTATGCATGTCCGAGTGGTGATTACTAACTTGAGACATGTTTGTTATTACTAAACAGGAAATCCACATTAGACAAAAGTCACTGGGATTGGATTCATGTAAGGCAGCAGGAGGGCAGATGCTAATGTGGTCGACCTCCTGAGTCAGAGCACTGTTAGAGGATGCACTGATGACGGGTTTTGGACTGGACTGGTCATGACTCACAACACCAGTACGGATACTAATTGATGACTTCAGAGAATAGGAAACAGCATAGAAATAGTCAAATTAAGGAAAAACATTAAAAGCGTCTCCTACAAATGGGTAGGGCTCATTTGTACCTGATATGTTTGTCCTAAAAACTGGGTTTTAAGTAAATTGAATGTTTTAAAACCAAGTAGGTTTCAGCAAATCTTAAAACTATAACTACAGGGAAGTTATAGGGGTAATATGAATGCATGGGAAACTTATTTGAAAACAAGACGTGTCTTTTAGAAAAAGTAGAAGGTTAAGAATGGAAAAACTTTTTTCCCCGTTTTAAAACAGACCAGAGCTTTAAAAAAATAAAATAAAAATCAAGCCCTATACCTAAAACTGAATAAAAAAAATAAATTACATCTTCAAATTCAAATAACTTAAAAAGAAAAAAGAACAATTTACTAAAGATATGTTATTAGTCACACGGATATCATTTTTATATGGATCAGCTAACCTAAACATCGCTGATGGGACAATGAATCCAGACCTGTTTCTGCAGGTTATTATAAAGGGCGTTGGTGCAAAAATGATCCAGGAGTGACTAAAGGGGCAAAAGATCAGGTCTAAGTTGCTAAACTTTCAAGATCTTATTCTGATGTAGCATTGGTCAGATGTAGTAACATCAAGTTTAAACATTGCAGGCCAAATATAATAAACGCACACTGTAAGAATAAAAAATAAAATACTAGATAAACATGTTGCATTTTGTGGGGCTCAATATCAAGCCGGGAGGGAAAAGGGAGACTTATGAAGGAACTGGTGACTTGGGAAAAAATAAAAAAGCAGAAAATTTCAGGTTGTTGTTTGTGTTTGTTTAGAAGAGCACATCTGTGACACTAAACAACCAGAGTACCTTTCTAATGGCCAAAAACTGTACAGAGCCCAGCTTTAAAAGATCTGTTACCAACAGCTGAGTAAAAGATCACACTGCAGGATTTATGAGGTCTGCTCAAGTTTAGGCCTGAACAGGGCTAGTTTCCAGAATACCAATTTCCGAGACATTATTCTATTGTTTTGCTGAAATAAAGTACCATTTATAATGAATGAAAGCCATATTCAGAACGTGAAAAATAATAATAATTTAGTTGCACCATGGCAAAGACACTGTATGATTTAATCAGCCAAGGTGTTTACTTCTATATGTTGGTTGGTTTTAAAGCTGTAGTGATGTTGAGCCACTGATCAAAGAAAAATTATGCTTCATGACATTTATAACCATTTGAAATTTGAAAATACCATATAAAAAGTGCCTGTAGTACAGCATATTACATAAATTCAAATACCTTAAAAACTAAAGAAAACTAAAGACAAAATAAAGCTCCTGAGCAAGCTGCAACACTGGAAGTTTTTTGATACATGTGCAAACTAGGATTTTCACAATACCTACAATTAAAAACTGTATGCCAATGCAGCCCTGTCCACTTTTCTGGTAGATCGCACTAAGCTTTTTAGTGATCAACTACAGCAGCCTGATAGGTCCTCCTTTTTTTCCCCTCTTTCTAATGTCACCTTCAGTCTGGCTCCTCCTTATTATTAGTGGCAATGGCTTCCAATAGGTTTAGTAAATGGCCTGTACTGCTATAGTGCTTTTCTCAAGTCAGAGGATTTGACCAAAGCGCTTTACACTGCATTCAGTCATTCACACGTTGATGGTGGCAAGGTACATTGTAGCCACAGCTGCCCTGGGGCTCACTGACAGAAGCAGGGCTGCCGTACACTGGCACCACCAGTCCCTCCGACCACCACCATCAGTTGACAATGAGGGTGAAGCGCACGACATTGAAAGCCAGCGCTGGGGCTTTAACCGACAACCCTCCAGCTGCAGGGCAAACTTCATCCAACACTACCATCGCCCCGGATTTAACACTAAACAATGGAATAACAGAAAGAACGAACTGGTAAAGCTCGTTTCATTACTCTACTACTTATAAGACCTAGTTAGCCATTTGCTGAGTCAATTTTTCCCATTTTAATCTGTGCAGCAGCAAAGTGGTTGGTCCAGCTACCATGTGGCATCGTTTAGCTTTCTGATTTTATTCCTGTATGTATGCCTCACAGGGAAACAACTGTTTCATTTGACTCTTTGGCTAAAGAAGGCCACATGTAGAGGCGTGTTTTATTTGGTATGTTATAAACAGCAGTTATAATGTTACAGTCTGTATTAGTTTGATCATAATGCTACTTACAGGCTTACTGATTGATGTTAATAACCAAAATACCATTAAGTATTTTCTTGCTTTCCTTTAACAACACAGCTAGGACTTGTTTTAGTTATGCTCCTACAAAAAGCAAGAGAGCCTGTTAGTACTTTGACCTATAAATATATCAAAAGAAAATCTACTCATATTTACATATTTAGAACATAAATGGTCAATACTCCATCTGAATTTGGTTTTTACCCTGACCTAAATCAATTAAGAGACATTTAATCTAAGGCTGCAACTAACAATTATTTTGCTAATTCATTAATTTGTCGATTATTTTTTCGATTAATAGATTAACAATCAAAGGGATTAACAGTCAAAGGTTTCTAAAAGAAGACTTTTTGCTAATTTTAGTCAGGTGAACCTAAAACTTTTCCACTTGAGGAGTTCCAGATAGAACATCTTGAGAAAAAATGTGGGGTTTTTTTTTTTTTGGTTTTTTTATCTTAAATGCAAACTGTGTTTTTTTTTAAATCTTATTTTATTTATTTTTTTACAATTTTGGTATAATTACTACTATAAGTGGGTTGCTCTGTCAGCTGTAGGCATGTTTTAGAGTCTCTTTACTCAGGTTAACGATTAATTAGTTGAGGATTATTTCAATGATCGATTAATCATGAATTATCCGATTCATTGTTTCAGCCCTAATTTAATCGAAGCACGTGAGAACATAATACAAACAAAAAATTGTAATTCTTCAGTTGAAACTTTGTTGGTAGCATTTAATTTTGTGTTACTTTTTACTGCTCTTTCATATCATATAGATACGGTGACGTATCCATTTAGTGGCTGCTGCTTGTGTCCTATTGTATAACAGCACTGATGGCTGTGAAGTCTTCTCAAAGGTAGCTTTTTATTTCCAAATGCAGTTTGACAACTGTGATATAGTAACATGTAAAGAACATAATCATTTTTATTTTCCAATATGTAGAGTTAAAGCAGCCAAGCTACATGCTGAAACGTGGACCTGATGAAAACGAATGTACCCTGCAATGAGTCAAACAGTTTGTATTGTTTTATTTTTAAATTAGCCAAATGACTGGTTTAATAATGTTTTACAGTACTTGTCAGCCAGACTTGAGCAAATGTCTATCTTGAAAGTCAATGGTGCAATTTCAATAAGAAAGTGGAGAAAACTATGAAAGGATATAAATATATAGTTAACTTTATAACAGAAAGGGAGTAAAATTCAGTTTTCCTTCCAGACAGAATATACTGTCACTGTTTTACATATGAAAAAATTAATATTCTGCAGTAACAAATTAGACTTTTTTTTAACTTAAAAGAACTATTCCAAATAGATCAGCTGATATTTACTTTAAACACTTTAAGTGTATAATAACTCAGTTCCTACATATAATTACATTTATAGAGTTGATTTTAGATCCAGCATTAAACTCATAAAATTCTGATAAAGTCTACTATTACAAGTAAAACCTTTACCATGTGAGGTTGGCTCGCTACTTCAATGTAATTAAATCTTAGAGTGACCAAAAGTATTAAATAAGCATGAATAAAAGATAAAAAAAACTTGGATCAAATTTATTTCCCAACACTTTTTCCCCAAACGTTAGCAGGTTAGCAAGCATCCAGCTCTGATTCCAGAAAACATAATCTGAGCAATAGCTACTTCCATCCTTATAATGAAGATTAAAAACAATTGTTCGGGAATTAAAAATGTAATTTATTCGGTAACGTTGGGTTAAGGTCGGCTTAGGTTTAAGCTTTCCAAAGCTAACGATCATGCTAGCACTCAGATGAAAGCCGTTCACCGCGGTGAAAAACAAGGCTAACATAGCTATGCAGCTACGGTTAACTCCCCAACTACAGTCGACATCAACTGTTCTCCGGCTTGTTTAAATTCAAATAATCTATTATTTGGATCTCCGGAATATCGTGTATGTTTTACTAACGGTATGAATGCGGATACAGACTTACTGGGCAGTTTCAGATTTCCAAAGCTCGTCGAGGCGCTTCCACTAGCTTGTGAAGCCCCAGTTTTTCCTGTCGAGCTTCCGCCAGCCACCGCCGACACGGCACCGGCTGCAGCAGATCCGGGAGCTCCGGGAGGCTCAGCGAATGAGCTGGTCCTGGCCCGCCCGCTGCCGCTCATATTTGTGTGAACCTAAGCCGAGGCACAGTTGTATGTTTAGAGCTGCATCACGGGCAGACGGTTTGCCATATGTGTATGTGTTCTTATATTTGATTAAATTAAAAATAAAAAAACACTTACAGCGTTCAGTATAGGTTTCCCGTCTCCCCCTTTCTTCCTCTGTAGAACAGTAATGGTGGGGGGACTGGGGAGTTGACGCACAACGACGTAAAGACCGCAATGCATCAAGGGAAAATGAGTTTTTCCACAATTCAGTGAGGTTTTTACTTTTTATTATCACTTTTCATCCGTTTTTTTGGGGGGGAGAAACGTTTGCCTTAGGAATATTTGATAGATCATCTCTTTTTTCTTTTTTCCACAAGGAAAAAACTCGCTATAGATTAAATCAGCATTATGAAGCTCAAGGAAATATCCAATTCAGTTTATTTATATAGCGCCAATTCAAAACACATGTCATCTCAAGGCACTTTACAGTTCACCAGATCATCCAGTCAATTTGATTCAAAGTTTTCTATCTAAGGAAAACTAGTTGATTACATCGACTAGAATGCAATCCCTCACACCAAGCATGCTTGTAACGACAGTGGAGAGGAAAAACTTCCTTTAAACAGGAAGAAACCTCCAGCCAAAGCAGGCTCAGTGTGAGCGGCTATCTGCCGGGGCCGATTGGGGTTCAAGGAGACAGAAGCAGAGATAAGAAAAAAAAAAGCAACTGTAAAAGGCGGAACAAACCGGAAACAGCATGTGTATATATATTTTTTAGAAATTTAAAGCTGGTTAGGGTTTTATACCTTGCATCATTGGTGCAAGTGACCACCAGGCTGCACACTACAACGCCATACAGGAACTTCAAGCCATCATCCAAATATGGAAGGCATAACTGCAGCCCTACAGGGACATGGCCATCTAACTAAACTGACAGACAAGCAGGAAAAAATAGTTTAAAAAAAACCCTAGCACATAAATAAACTTATAATCGTTGCTTTTTTTATTTTGGTAAAAACATTATATCAAATATAGTGACAAATATTTATAAAACACATCTTGACCAGTTTATTTCCCTTAAATATAATTAAGTGAAAAAAAAATACAAAATTTTGCTTTTATTAGGGTTCTGATCCCATCAGTTTTTTTATCTGATAAAATCTAACAGATTATGGTAATTAATCAAACAAAGAACAATTGACCTGCTGCTCATTAAATTTACTAACTGCAGTAACATAACTTTGCTTCCTTAAAGTAAGATCTGGAGAATTGCTTTGTATTCAAGGTTGTCAAAGTTGGTATGAATTGACCAATTGAAAATTAGGGCCCATAGCAATTTCCAATATAATCATTACTGTTAAGACTGACAGCCAAAATTTACCAATATCATATGTTTCCCTTACCTTTAGAAACATGACAATATGACAAATCCACTGATATTGCTTCTCTCTGATTTAAACCAGACAGTCCTGTGGTGCATCACTCTCACTGTCACATTTCAGATTGCCAACCTCTTCTACCAATAACATATAACAAAAAACAAAAAGATCAAAATAAATATGGTTGTTAATAGCACTTTATTAATAATCAGGCCAAGCAGTATGCTAAAATGACTAATATCAGCTGATAATAATAATAATAATAATAATAATAATAACTGAACATCATTGATCTTACAATGGAGAAAAAATTTTTTTGACCACATCCAGGATGTTGCAGAGGCATCCTGCATTTTGTATCTGTCAAAAATTAAAAAAAATTTCTGATATTTCTGACCAGAGACCTTTGAGACCTTTTAGTTATGCTGTGTGTGGATGTGTATATTTGTTACCTTGTCAGAACAGTGTATAGCCATTTTTAGCACGAATATGTAAATTGTGGGGACTTGCAGGTACTTGTTGGGATGAGTTAACTGGTTAATATGAGGGAAAGTTCTCTTCTGGAGTTGAGAGTTAGTTTCGTAATGTGTAAACTGAGTTTAGTTAGCTATATCGTGGTACTGGTTAGGTGAAGGGTCTGGGTTAGGCCATAAAAATTTAGGACAAATGAAAGGAAGTCAGTGCAAAGTCTCCAAAAGGACAGTATGCGTGTGTGAGCATGAACTGATTAGTCTTATCTTGATGGATCTTCAAGATAAGTCCAATAAAAGACAGGGTTTGCAATTTAGCCATTGACTAGACAACCTCTTTACAAAAAAAAAAAAAAAAAACAGCTGAATTGTTGTCATGTGTAATACTCTTTCTCTCTTTCTCTTTTATGTATTGTCCTTGACCAAAAAAACTTAACAAACATACATATAAACATGCAGTAGGTGCACTCGGTGACATTTTTATGTATGAAGGACTTTTCAACAAAGTTTTCAGAGTGGAACAAAAAGTGCCTTTATGGAAATTAAAACAAGAAACAAGCCTGCCATCAACTGTCAGCAAACAAACAAACAGGAAAATGTTTTTAAAAAACTGAGGCAATAACATGTCGGGAGGTCCTAATTCAATATTATTATCAAAAATTTGTCCGATTTTTAGTCAGGGTCGGTACTCTCTCCATTCCTTTTTACATTGAACACCTCTGACTTCCAGTACCAGACAGAGTCCTGTCATCTACAGAAATACTCTGATGACCCTGTAGTCATTGGGTGTATCAAAGACAAGAAGCTTCGTACAGGGAGCTGGTGAGGAGCTTTGTGGCATGGTGTGGAAACAATCATCTGGTCCTGAGTGTAAACAACACAAGGAAGATGGTTGCAGATTGCAAAAGAAACAGGAACAAGTTGAAACCTATTAACGTCAAAGGAGACGATGTGGAGGTGGTTGAGGGGTATAAATACCTTAGAGTTCACCTGTACAACAAACAAGACTGTGAAGCCGTCTATAAGAAGGGACAGAGCAGATTGCACTTTCTTAAGATGCTGCATATCTTCTGTTGATATAGTCTGTTGTGGAGAGTGGGATCTCCTCTGCCATCATCTGCTGGGGTAACAGCATTAGAGCTAATGACTTACAAAAGCTCAACAAGCTAATTAAGGCCGGTTCTGTTCTAGGAACTCCTCCAGAACCTCTTGAGATTCTTTCATGAAAATTTCTTCATTAAGTGAAGCACATTACGGAAAACAGTGAGCATCCTCTTCAAAAGATTTTTAAACAACAACAGAGTGTCCTCTTACGAGGCTTCTCCAAATCTGATGCAAGACGGACTGATGCAGAAGATCCTTTCTGCCCACAGTTATCAACACCTACAACACCTGTTTAAAAATATACCATATGAGTTACTGCACCATTTGATTTTCCTTTAGGATTAATAAGGTATTTTGGATTGAACTGAATCAACCAAAAATCAAATATCTGAATATACTGCATCTAAAACCTCCAAGAAGCTGATAGGAACACTACACTTTTCTTCACTTCTGTTTAAAGTTTATGTAATAATTTTTCAAATAATACATGGGTCAGTTATTCTTAAAGCAGTTTTGTTTTAATATTATTCTCTATTTGAGCAATATCATTTGATTAAAGCTTTTGTATCGGGTTATATCGGGTCAATGACTGTATTGGTCAATACTCCATGCCGCTACATGAGTATCGTATTAGAAATCAAAAAGCTGCATCAGGACATCCCTAATAAAATAGTTGTTAAACGACCAAAATGTACCTGTAAATTAGAGTCAGATGTTCAACAAAGTTAACAGTAAAAAAAGTTTCGCTATCAGACAACATAATAGAGATAAATATATATGAATATGTATATTAAATATATATATTGTTTAACTCTGAGAAATATGGCAGAGGATTAGGGACACTAAAAAAATAAAACAATTTTGACTGATTTTTACATTTTATTTCAGTTTAATAGGGGGAAAAAAGTCAAAATTCTGATTTTTTTTCTCATAATTTGACTTTAATCTCACAATTCTTACTTTTTTCTCAGAATTCTGACTTTAATCTCATAATTTTGGGTTTGTAGATAGGCGCCATGAAGGAAGAGAAGTGGGAGCACTCAGCTTCGCTGAAAAGATGTGAATTGTTTGGAAGGGTCAGTAACACATTGGTGGAAAATTATGCAATTATTCAACCATTTACGAGCTGCAGAAAGAAGTCGTTGAGCAGTAGAGCAGAAGGTGATTAAAACAAGAGAGCCAGTCTCTAAAATAGACATGGCTACGGCTTAATGCTAACATGTTTGTTAGCTGTAAGAATTCTGAGATTAAAGTTAGAATTCTGAGATTTAAGTCAGAATTCCGAGAAAAAAAGTCAGAATTCTGAGCTTAAAGTCAGAATTCTGACTTTAATCTCAGAATTCTGACTTAAATCTTAAAATTCTGAGATTATAAAAAAAGTTTGAAAAAAAGTTAACTGCTTTTTGAATTTCTTTTCAGTATAATATGAGAAAATATTATCCTGATATTATACTGAAATAAAATTCTAAAATCAGTCAATTTTTTTTTTCAGTTGCCCTATTCCTCTTCCATAGAGAAAATTCTAATCACAATATTAATTTAATAGTCAAATTAATCTGAAAAAGTAAAGTTAAGAATACAAATTCTGATATTTTATATTTTATTTTTTAGGAGGAATTAAAAAAAAAAAAATACCAACCATACTCAAAAAAACTACATTTCCCATGTATTAGTATACAAATAATGATTGACAGTAGCTGTGTCCAATCACAGGAGCTGAAACATCCACGCTACCGCAGTGGGCTGGACCATCTAGCATAGGAACAGGGGCTTCAGACGGTTAAACGTTGCTTTACACGCCTTCTAATCTTTGTTTTTGTGGGCAAATATATGTTTTACATTTTTTTAAACGCTGAGACCATTTTGAAAGGACTGCCAACCAAGAAAAACGAGTGTATTAAGTACCAGAGAAGAGCACGCGGCGGGCCGGACGGCAGTAAATGAGAGGTAAGGGCAAAGAAGGGCCCGCCGTTGTGGCCGTAGAGCTGCGGGGAAAAGTGGCTAGCGCCGCCTGACGGACCGCCCGACGCACCGGGCCGCCGCTGTCAGGAAACAGCGGTGACTAGAAACAGGTCTGCATCATCCGAGGGAGCGCCGCCAACAGCTCTCCATACGCCATCACACATTGTAAACAATTTACGACTTTATTTGGGAAGGAATTGAATCATTTTGGGGGTTTAGTCAGTCTAGCTCCTCATGTTAGCATCAATGGGCCTTTAGCTAACGACCGTCTGTTTGTTCCCGCGTTTCTCTTATCATCCCTTTG